TGTGTTGGCCCACAGCCAATATTGACTCAGTGATGCTAGTCATTATCAGAAACTTAACATAGTATACAAAGGTTCCAAATAAAATAGACCCTTAAGCATATTTTTAGTCCTCTATATTAACTGTATTTAAGTCGTTTTCAATGTTTTTGGTAGTTGTATCTTTTTTACATTTTATTTTGGTAATATGTTTCCTCTTATAGGATTAGGAGATAAAGATTACATTTTAGGCTCCTTAGTCTGAATTTTTATAACTTGTTTAGTTTTAATCATTCTTTACAATGGGTTTCAGACACAAAACAGGAGAAAACCATGTAGCTATTTTTATAGTTACCTTAGGGGGTTCAAAAAAGGTGGGGACATAATTTTACGTAGTGATTCCTTGAGTCAAATTAAAGAGAAAATCAAGAATAACATTTTTTTATCGCTTTGTTATCCGCCATTTTGTATTTTTTACATAAACATTTTTAACTTTAAATTTTTTCAACCGGTCTTTATGAATCTTTGTATTTATTTTGAGATAAAAGAGACCCATGTTATAAAAAAAATCATCTTGATTAAACCTAAAATTTTAAAATGGTAGCCATTTTCAACTTTTGAACTTAAATTAGTAAAAACATGTTGATTTTATGAAAAAGTGTCAAAAACATTTTTATTTTGCATTTTTAATTCCCTATTATAGTTCAAAAAGATACTTAGTTACTAAAGGATACTAAGTTCAAAAAGATCTAATAAGAAATTGCTGAAATATTGAGATTTTTAGTTGTAAAATAGGGTAGAATACGGCTAAGCTAGTCAGGTTTGCCCCATTTTACAACTAAAAATCCTAATATTTCAGCTATTTCTTATTAGATCATTTTGAACTTGGCATCGTTTGATAGGGAATTAAAAATGCTATATAAAAGTGTCCTTGACATTTGCTCATTAAATCGGCCACTTCTTAGTAATTTAAGATTTAAAATAGCTAATATTTAGAAATTTTAAGTTGAAACAAGCTTATTTTTTTACATAGGTTTCTTCTACTTTAACATACAAAATAAGTTTCATAAAAATTGGTATAAACAAGTTCAAAGATAAAAATGTTTATGTTAAAAAAAACTAAATGGTGGATATCTGGTTAAAGAAGCTATTTTTGAACAAATGTTATTCTTGATTTTCTCTTTATTTTGACCCAAGGAATCACTACGCAAATTATGTCCCCACCGTTTTTGAACACCCTGTATAAAACTACCTTTGTTATGCAGTTAGCTCTGTAGCGTAATAAAATGAAAAATATTTCAAAGTTAAAAAAAACTGAAATATTAGGTTTTTCTATTTATTGCCATAGAGATCTATCAACAAACCTTGCAAAAAACCCTTCGTAGAAACTAAGGTCTGGGGAAAAGTTCTAGATCCAAAGAACAAAATTTTGCCTAAGGTATTCCTTAGAATCTGGAATGTTTCATTGTCTCAAATAATTCTTTTAGCGAATTTCTCTATATGGAAGTAGCTATTACCATTTACCGTAGGTGGCATAAGTACCGTAGGTGGTAAGACCTAGACTCAGGACCGATTTACTTTTTCATTTTGATGTCCCCAGAGGCCAAAAACACAATTCGTTCAAATTGATATATATATATATATAAATTTATATATATTTATATGTCCTGAACACAATAACTTGAGTAATTTTTGTCCGATTTTGATGAAATTTTATTTAAAGATGTAAGGCAGGATAAACTTGAATGAGTTCGCAAACCAGCATGATGGGACCATGGGAACTGGGTTATACGAGAGGTTTTATGGGGTAAATAATGGTTTTTCTCATTTTTGACCCTTAAGCCACAAAATTTCCTAATTTCTCTCTGGACCTTTTAAGAGCTTAAAAAAACAAATAATTTAGTATATCAAAGTGTTTTTGTGCGGTTATTGGTAACAGAGAAAATTGTAAATTTAAAATTCCCATGTTATCCTTATAGAGAGTATTGTAAAATGTTGTAGTTTGCTTGTTTATGGATACATTTTGATCAAACTTGGCAATTTTATTTATTTTATACTAAGCTATTGATATTTTACAAAAAAAATTCACTTTATTAGTTTCCTTGTAGCAGCAAACCTAGGTACTTGTTAAACCTAATATTATATAAATAGATTTAATTGAAAATCTATTCAGACAAATGGAAATTCGCTTAGTTGGCAGGTTTGCTGCAGCGGGGATATTTTTTATATTTGAAGGACTGACAGACACCACCTAAATTGATATACGAGTGTTGCAAAATGTGTACCTATTTGTATACCTGTGGAATTAAGAGATCCATTTGTGACACTAAAATAGAGTATGTTATCGTTATCCACTAAGCGGCGAAGCACAATTAGAGAGCCACACATTAAGTTTATTTATTTACTGTAAAATAAAAATTTTGCATTTTCCTAAGGTGCAAGTTTTCAAGATTCTTCCCTTTTTTGCTAGATTCATCGTGAGACTTTTGACACATTAACGGTTGGCTTCTTTTAATTGTTTTAATCAAATCATACCTCAATAAAACAAAATTTATCAAACAAATAGTATTTTTATTTTATGTAATAGTATATTACGTGACTAGTCCTGAAAATAAGTGTTTACCGGACGAGTGTGGGATTACCATACGAGTCCGGTACACACATTTTGGACGAATTACGTACGATAGTTTATGCCATAATAATAAATCTGTACAAATCCTTATATATTTCCACCAACTAAAGGACTAAAAATCACTAGTCATAACCTTTAAGATAGGTTATGTTTTTGTTTATAACCATTCATTGCCACCTAAATACAGTATAATCAGCTGATTGGTGTCTGGTAAAACTCATTACAGTACAGTAGTACGCAATGAAACCCCATTTGAATAAGCTAGCGGCAAACAGCTGTTTTCTGGACTATATCCTTGCGTGGGAAGTTCGTCAAAATAATGTAGTGTGGCGTAAAAAATAATAACAATCTTTAAATCACTACCCAAACAAACAAAGTAGGTATTGATTTAGCATAGTCACCTTGACCATTAATAACATAAAGTTACATACGCAAGCCAAGCCTTTCTGTTTAGCAAAGCGACACAATGAATAAGGCCAGCGACTGGGGAAAAGCATTTACATGTACATGTTGTGGTGCTCATTAAAACGGCGTAAATGTTTCAGACTGTTACAATGGCATTGTGCCTGATGGAACTGAAGTTAATTATCCATGTCTGGTATTAATGTGTTAGAGACAATTAAATAAAATAGTGTTGGTTCCACATTGGAACTTGTTTATGTTTGTAATTAATAATTATTCCCAGTAAGTAATTTTAATCTGTCTTCTTGTTTATTAGATTTAACCAAAACTGTATTCGTTGTTAGCATATTATCCTTGAAGTATTACTTTCAGAGGTTAAAACACTGTATTTTTTAAATGTTATACAGTTTTCAGAATACAGTTTTTTATAATTGTTTAGTTTAATAGAGAGCATTTTACTAAAAAAACAGTTTGTTTGGACAGACATTAGGGTCATTCTAATTTCTCTTACAAACGTTTTAGGTATCAGTTTTCAAGTAAGGTAAAGTTTAAAATTTACAAAAGGTTTAAACAGCTTTAATAATTATTGTCAGAAATTAATATTGGACTTTGAAATTAATATTCTAGGAGAATGTGTTATGGAGTTCTGGTGTTTGGGACTAAGTAATTTATCCAATAGCTTCTATAAAGTAAGATTTTTGTCAACGTTGTATTAAGAGGAAAAAGTACAGGTAACCACTATTTTGCAAATACAGACAAATTCTATACATAAAAAATAAAAATACTGTTATTATTAGTTACATACTGTAATGGATATAACAATCTATAATAATCCTGAACAACATTGAAACGAGTTATAACTAAAACTGGCACACGCTACTTCAACTTAAAACTCATGTGAGAGAGAACACCATTTTTTAAAGATTATTTCGGTTAACTGACTTTTTACTCTATGTTATAATGATCTTTAAAATTTTGAGAGATCTGTAGATCTAGCCGACTTGTCATTTGGGAATGTTTGGTTTATAGCTCACCATAAGAGGCCTGGATTAAGGGAGGTTAGACACTTATCAAAGGCATAGTGGGGTGTGAATGCTTTTTACAAAACTTTAGGTAAGCAACCTATATTTTTCCTCTATCTTAGTGAATGTTCCCGCATTGTAAAATTTCTAATTACACCTCTGACACCTACATTGTAAACACCACCTATTCAAGCAATATTTTCCATTTCTACACTGATTATGTGAGTATACTGTAATTATACGTAACCAATGTACACTTTATACAGTGGTTAGCTGGATCTGTGGCTCGGTCGGTAGTTTGACCAATTATGAATCCTTGACAGCGATGTTGTGGGTTCACTTCCTGGCACCTGCCACTTAATTTTATCAGTTCACTCTTGTACTGTACTGGCATTTGTACGTTCCATACACAGGCATTTGTATTTTTGTGAGGCCTGTGTAAACATACAAATGCAAGGTTAAAATCGACTTACAAACCTCTTTAAAAAACCAAACAAGGTTTGTGAATCAAGATTAGTTTCAAGTTTGTTCAAATAGATCGCTAGGCAAGACAAGATTTTGAAAAGGTTATTCTATTGCATAACTCATAACTGAGCAACATTTTTTTTTAAGTTTGACCTAACAAATAGTAATTAGCCCATACACCATTTACAGCATTTGAAAGGTAGATTGGTAGATTATATCTAGACCAAAAGGTGTTCCAGCTCACCATACTAAAAAGAGCTAAATAAATATAAAATAGTTGTGGTTATGAGTTAGTAACAAAATAACCCTATAAGCATCCTAAACATAAGCCAAACTGCACTTTAAAATTATTTGTAAACCCAAGTAAAATTTATCTTATTGTTACTGATTTCTTGTAGCCAGATCAAAACTTAAAATTAACCCTAACAGTAGTAGTTGATCAAAGAGAGATTAAAAGTAGAACCAAGAAATATCACAAAAAATATAAATATTTTTATTTCGGTAAAAAAATACAACTAATTACAAACAGTACTTTACATACAACAGTTAAACATGTTTAAACAACAAACCCTGGTAAAAACAAACATAAGACATAAAAGACAGTATTTTTACAATTTTAAGACATTTTATGAATAAAAACAAATACTGTACTCTGGGCCTTGTGTACTCCTCATAAATGTTTGTGTATGAATTATATCTAATTGTTAAAATTTATATAGATACTGAAAACCAAAATTTTAAAACTTGACAAGTAGTAACTTTGAAATAAATATTTTTTAGACGTTCAGTACTAATAAATTATAAATAATAAATTAAATCATATATGTAAATAAAAAAAAAACACTATTAAAAATTACATACTAGCATTACATCATTGACTATATAACACTACTGTTAAATAGTCAATGATTACATTTACCAATTTACGGAAAACATGAAGTATACTCTGAGATAAATATTGAAAACAAATGGCGGCTTTTCACTTTTAAGTGGAGTATTCAGCAATGCATGGTTAATTTGATTTACTTGGAGGGTCGGCCTAGCAATTGTCCTGTTACACTCTCAAGGTCGGGTAGTCTGCCTCAACTTAAGCTCTGACAGCTTTCAGCATTTTTCATTTTTTACCGATTTCAACCCGGTCCAGCCCTCTTTTGACCTTTGACCAAACTTGTGACGGAAATCAGTCCTCTTCTGAGCAGTCGAATTCATTTTAAAATTATAGAGATGTGTCTGATTAGGATATATGTGGTGAAGAGGGTGCAGTAAGCACAAAATCCAACCAAGATAATGTCGATGAAGCAGGCTTTGAAATCTTGGTGCAATCCCGTCAGAATTCTTTGAATGAAACACTTGTTACGAAGAAATCCAAGGACGTTGATGAGAAAGAAACATCAAAACTGTCCAAACTGCCTGTTTACTAAAGTAAAAAGTATACTGAAAAAGTGTTGAAAAAGTATGCTGAGACCTTCAAAACTGCTTGTGAAATCTGACTCCTTGAAAGCCAGCAGCTTTAAATTTGCCAAGCAAATATCACAAGTTAATAAATACACATCCAATATTCCAAAACTAGTATCACTAAAAACTACACTATCCGCCTTGGTAGGCAAACAAGGTCATTCTCTGTTAAGCAAGGACAAGAAAATACCCATCAAAACCCTGACTAATATCACCTCGTCAAAGCTTCACCCTACTACAAAGTCAATAATTTTATATCCCAGAGACAAACAAATTAACGCCTAGGCCAGGAACCTCACTAACCAAAAGCAGGATTCTTTCACACAGTGTTTCAGCGGTCATCAAAACACCTGCTCAAACAATTGGTACTAAAATTCCAGCCAAAAAGGGTTTGCTCAAAACTCCTGCTCCAGAAGGCATTCCTAGAGCGGTGCTCTGTGACACCAAAATCAAGAGAGTGGTGACCCTATTGGTTCAGCTGTATGTGAACATAACTGCCCAAAGTACTGAGAAAACTATACCCATGAAAAACAGGTATAAAACCATAGTATCCCCCATTCAATACCATATCAGAGGTTCCACTTCTATATATATACTCTTTGGAAAGGCACAAACCATAAGTGATAAAAACATACATGAGAGTCTAACATCCGGACCTAGGCCTGTCACTCCTGTTGTAAACTCTGTATACAGCTATTCAAAAGCTAAACTATGATGTTCTTAAACAAGAAAATGAAAATCTTAAAGTGAAAGATCACTCAAGAAACACCATTCAAATCAAGGCATTTGTGCCACCTCAGGAAATATTTTGGAAACAAGAACATGTTAAGCAACGTTTGCCATTGAGGGAAGAAAAACAAACCCAAATATTAACTGCAATTCCTCAGATCAAAATTACTGTCATGAATAAAAAGTTATTGAATGTCCGAAATCCCAAGGAGTCCTGGTTCCTTCTTCAATAATTCACCTACTGCTGATAACTTCGAGACGTATGACCTTCCCCTCCAAGAGGCGCAAGAGTGAATCTGTCTAAAATCATTAGTCAGGAAAATGTCAGTATTGTTAAGGTTAACACCTTTATACAGTTAAGGATTTGAAGGAAGCGCTGAATAGTCTGGCCATCTTTTAGTCCAGCCAAGGGTACAGTCCCAAGCTCTCTGGGCTCGAAGTCTTTTGTATTAACAGGGTGTCTACTACATTCTGGATAAAAAATTCATGGACAATTCCCGTACATTTAAGGACCTTTGTCGGCGTGATTGCAGAATAATATTCCTGATTTGTCAAACTGTATTAATCTTGTTCTTCGTAGTTTTTCCAGAGAGAAAAGTAAATAATAATAGACAAGAATTAAATTTCAAAATAGAAACTTATTGAAAGTAAACAAACATATACTTTAGGTACAGCTTTTATAGTGTAACAGAAAATGCAATCATTGTCTCCTGCAATAGCGACAAAATCCTAAATATCTCCATCGGTCACGGAAACATCATAACATAGCTTATCCGATCCAGGCGGATTAATTTGGCATTATTCACCCTGGCACAACGTTAGGTTCTCGACTACTTTTGAAAAAAAAATCTTTAATGCATAATGAATATATTGTAACTCGGTTCTAGGTACAAAATCGGTATGGTAAGCGGCTACCAGTAAGCACAGAGTAAGATTATTGTCTTTTCATCTGCAAAGTTAATATCGACACATAGCAATCATTACTTTATCTTAGGCTCAATTACATTTTCTTAGTAATTTTACAGCACTTTCAAAGAATCAAAATACCCAGGCCTAGACCTAACTATTTAGGAGGGCCTATATTAACTGAGTAACAAACAATGAGGTTATAATATCAGCAAAGTCACTACAAACAATATCATCATTCTAGTTCATAAGATTTAGATTGCTTAAAGCATACAACTCAATAAATAAATATGGGAAATAAAAAAAATTGAAACCTGACTGCCAACAATGTACAAAGATACAGAAAATGCTATGACATCATTTGAAACCAAGTAGGCCTACGTAGTGATAAAAATTTAATGCAAACAACCGATGCTTTTGGTTTTGCAATTGAAAGATAAAATATCCATAGAAAAAGGGTTTAACTTAGTTATGTTTAAGATTAGTTACATGTTTTATATGAAACCATAAACAGTTTTATGGCACTAGGCAATGGCCAGCGGCAAATTGAAGTACAAGTAAGAAGCGAAATTTAACAGCCATTATAAAACTATTATTTCCATGATAAAATATGTTTGGGATCTAATAATGATTACCCTAGTAATAAATAAATGTTGTAAGGGATAAAAGTCATACAGCTTTTATGAGCTAAACTACTACTGAGTCAACAGTTCTTGGAAGTACTTGATTTGACACTTGATTGTTGTGATAAAATATTAATGGGTTTGAGAAATCTAATGGGGTTTTTATTGCATATTTGGTTTTTATTGGGGTTTTTATTACTCTAGTAATAAATTATGAAAATGTAAACAAACATCTGATAAACCTTTTATGTGCTCCTAACCAACTAGCGATCGATAAAATTATGGCCCATTAAAAATTTAAGGACATAGTCTGGCATTTAAGGACAATTCCCGTACATTTCATGGCCAGTAAAAAATTAAGTACAATTCCCGGTTTTCCCGGATTTCCCGGTTGGTAGACACCCTGATAAGTTTGATAACTAAAATCCACTTTTCGGAACTGCACCCTTGGCTGGACTAAAAGATGACCAGACAATTCAGCGGTTCCTCGCATGACAAGAAATTTTGATTTTAGGAATTGCAGATATTATTTGGGTTTGTTCATTAGCAATCTATGATCGGCAATTGACAATGGTTAAGTTGCAACTGAAAGCTGTTCTTCTAGCTCACTGCTAGACTGTGAGGTAGTATTGACTTGTTCCATGATCTCATGGTCGTAGGTAGAGTGCAACATCAACGCAAGTACTCCAGCACGATCAGACATTCTCTGCCGAATCTGCCTTTCCTGTTCTACCAGCTCATCTAGTTTCATCCACTGAAACATGACAATGGAAATTGAAATAATAAAGTAACTTTATTATGCCCTATACAGTTGTACAAGGTTCATCACAAATTCAACCAAAAGTTAAAATGTAGACCTACATAACAAAGAGGCAACAAGATATTGCATTGTGATTGTGAAATTGATATTATTACTAACTAATGCCTGGATTTACTCATAGTGCAGTCGTCAAAAAGTATATTTTTCAGTACTGTTCATTATTACAGTCCTTGATTCATTTCAACTCACCATTTTTTTAATGTCATTATATTTTCATGATAGTCTTATACTTAATAGTAATCCTTAAAATTGCCTCTAGCAACTAGTTTTGGCTCCGAAATGAATCCATCATCAGGCTGTATACATACATCATCCTACTTTAGTCATCTGTTGATGACCGCTGTGAGGTTTTTTTTAAACTGCTATGAAGATGATAATGAGGGACAATGAGAAAGAAAGAAAGAACGCAGCCTAATAGGTAAGATAACAAAAGACGCACAACTTGTACCGATTTTGTTGCAAAAGGCAACAAATCAATACAAGTTAACGCGAAGAACAGTCAGCTGTTTTGAACAATAGATCAGTATAGACCAGAATGCACCACACACTAAAGGAGTAGAGGGGATAAGGTCTAGTCGGATGGTCATTTGCTTCCAGCAGTATCAGTTCCTCTCCAAATCTCAACGTAACTAGTTCGGTAAAACTTTCGTTTGTGCAAATTAAATTCATTTCGCGGCGTTTGGTCGGGCAATCTCAAATTTCCTTAAAGTCGTTCAGCCTATATCCCTAAGGGATATAATTGCCTCGCGATCGGAAATTAGAATTTGTGTTGTTGTCAAAAAGTGCAAAAGTTCGTTACCGGCCAAACGCGGTCCGCCATTTGAAAATTTCTCAAACGTTCACACGAGTTTCAATTGATCGCGTCTTGTAGAATACCGACTAGTTACATTTCCTCATCCTGATCCCTTTGTTTGTGTTATATTTGTGGACGTCCAAACTGTAAGTAATTTGTGTTATTTATTTGTTATATATTTAAATTTCAGTGAGTCGCATACTTTGTAAATTTTCCTGTCTTGTTTTGTTAATTCATGTAGAATAAGCACATGTTCCCCAGTTCGATCCCAATTCGCTGATTTTCATATCCATTCATATTGTAACAATCCTCTTTATTTATTAGACTGTGGTAATACAATAGCATTAAGAATAAATAGATGAAAATGTTTTTATAGGGTAATTCAGAGTTGCTTTGTAATATTTTTATATAGTATTTGAATTTTGCACAGAGTCATTATTAAAGGTACAATTCGTCAAAGAGTGTCACAATCAGTATTTAAATTTGGGGGAATCAATTAATATCAAAGGAGGGATTAGGTAGCTGGTTCGGCTGAATCCGGAAGTGTTATCGGAGGCTATGCCAGTTTGCATATAGATGAACCGCCAAAGTGCCAAATTAGCCATAAAACAATAAGCGACGTTCCAGTATATATTATTACGATTAAACGCAATACTGTTTAATCAGTTGACCTTCGAGAATCGACCTTCATATTTACATCGTTGGCCAACGAACAGGACTTGCTTGGCACTGGTCATCTCAAATTAAATTAAAAAACCACTCCTCCGTTGACACCTTCGAGATCGGTGTGAAACCGCGCCAAATATTCCCCTTTGATAAATCCATTCAACGTTCTCAAACAAAACAATTCAGTCTGATTGTATCACTCACGGTCATATTTTATATTACATCACACAATCAGAAATTGTCAAACCGAAATCATTGTAAATCTTAAATACTGCTTAATAAATCAAATTGTTACTCACTTTTTAGTTCTCAATAACCTTGGAAATTCAGTATATGCAATAGTATCTAATTGGTAAACAAAAGGTAATTCAGTAAATCATAAGCCACTACAAAAGATTCACCTTTTAAGTGCAACACTAAACACTAGTGTAGTAGTGAGCAAGTAAATTCAGTGTAGAATTAAGACTGGTAAATTGCTCTCATTAAAGGTATTACATTTTTGGAAGAACCATAACAGTACCAAGGGCGTCCCCTAAGGACCTTTGGGGAATGTTTATATTTTGCAGGGCCCACACATATTTTTTATAACATCAAACTTCCACTGCCAAAAGCTCTGTCTGATATTTTTATTTTCTAGAGTTCTTCCAACCTAGGGGCAACCAACATTTGTAAAGAATTCATTAAAGAGCATTGCAAGGAGTAAATATATTTAAATACAATATTTAAATATATAAAAGTAGTAGAAAGGGGAAACCCTTTTCCTTTTTTCTTTTTTTCTTTACAAACTAGAGGTTGGCATTATTTAAAGTAATACGGTAATACTATTACTGAAGTGTCATCTATTACCGTGGTGATATATTACTCAGAATACCCTATTAATTTAGTAATCTGAACTTTTTAAATGAACGAATAAAATAACTGTCCCGCTTATCACGTCTTCCGTTTACAGCGAACATCACAAAATAATATTACCTTGGTGATAGATTATTGAAAATGAAATTAAATGAAATTATCTTTAATAACAACTTTACTGGCCACCTACAGTTTAGACTTAACTTCCATCAGGTTTTCGGCTTGTCTAATCAGACCATTTTAATATTTACCATTAGTGATTCTATGTGTTTGTATACAAAAACGTACTGTTACCGATTTTATCTTAAGGCCAAATTTGATGGCAGGATTTTATGCCTCTTTGATGTCTGCTAAGCATAGTCAATATTTAATATTTATATACAGGGTGGCTCAAAAATGTAACTTGCACCCCCCCTTAACTGTTCAACCATTCGAGATATTTGAAATCGGTTTGCGGCAACCTTCTTAGATATGAGAGGCTACAATAATTATGGTCAATTTTGAAAATTTTGCCCTTAGGGGTAATAACAATAATAATAATAATAATAACAAAATGCCAGTTCAAAATTACTTTAAATAACTATTGTCTCAATCATTTTTAGCTGCCATTTTGTTATTAATGGTCCGATTTCTATTTTCTTTATGTTAATTGTTATGTTTTGTCAAGACCTACAATATGATACCAAACTTGACTATACTTGCTGTTTGAAAATTTTGAGCTACCCCCTACCCCCGCTACCCCTAAGGGCAACATTTTCAAAACTTACCATAATTATTGTCGCCCTTCATATCCAAACAAGTTGCCGCAAACCGATTTTAAATATCTCGAATAGGTAAAAAGTTAAAGAGGGTGCAAGTTAATTTGTTTGCCACCCTCATGGTTATTTGGATTTGAAACGTTTTAGGGCGCCATTTTGTTATTAGTGAGCCGATTTTGGTTTTCTTTATGTCAATGTTTATGTTTCGTCAAGACCTGTAAAATGATACCAAACTCGACTATACTTGTCATTTGAAAATGTTGAGCTACCCCCTACCCCCACTACCCCTAAGGGCAAAATTTTCAAAATTGACCATAATTATTGTAGCCCCTCATATCTAAGTAGGTTGCCGCAAACTGATTTCAAATATCTCAAATGGTTCAAAAGTTAAGGGGGGCGCAAGTTACTTTTCAGCCACCCTGTATATTTCTTTCTTATTTGACGGTAAATTTAATTTTCATATAGCTGTTTAGCCTCTGGATTACTGTATTATACTTAAAATTGTTTAAGATTATTGCAATATAGTAATTCTTGATTGCTGTCTAGACTATACTTCAGCCCGGTCATGCTCGCTTATGTCAATGTCCTTGACAAAATGAGGTGACTACTTGACACCTTGTAGGTCTGATTAAGTATCGTAAACCATTTAAAAGTAAATTTGATGTGTGTTTTACTCTTTGGTTATATCATAGACGAAGCAACACAAGTAGACTCCTCATCCCATTGTAAATTTTGAAGCTTGTTTTTTGCGTCTAGTTCATGTACGTCCACACTGATCGCTAGTGTAGACAACATTTTGTTTCTATTATTTTAGGGTTATTTTCATGATTTTTGCTTTACTGTTTGGTTATATAACTAGGAGACCAGTTATTGTTTATGATTATATCGTTTTATTAGGTTAAATGAGGTTTTAAATGACTGCAATAACAAGAAACAAATTGTAAACAAAACATAACCTATGTAGTTGGACGTACAGAACTAACAATCAAATTGGCTTCAGCTGTTCCATTAGGATGACTAATCTACTAAGGGAGTATGTTTTATCTATGGTTATATAGTCTGTGGCTAATTACTTTTCAAATATATTTTAATATTTTGTTAAAACAGGTTTGAAGTTGGTAGAATAACAAGTTGATGTAATTGTCAAGAAAAACAATCGATACATGTCAGACAGAGACATGCTACAAGGATGATGAATCTGAAAAACTCACCTGCCGGACTCGTTCCATATCAACTTCAGCTCGTCTTAATTTTTCCCAACAATAGTGCTTGAGGCAGGACTTCTTCGCTTGTCGACAAAACTCTCCGGTGAGATCAAAAACATTTGTGACCAAAGGGCAGCCACAAACCTGCGCACATGATGAGAACATGACCTAATTATACAGGGTGTCCCGGAACTCTCTACCAATATTTTAGGGCATTGTTTTTGGTTAGTTAACATACCTAAATATCATATTTAAATTGTCCGGAAGTCCTTAGTTACTCACACAGCCGCCATTTTGTTTTTTTAAGTTATTAATTTTTTTCTAAGGAATGGTTAAACATACGAAATTGAAACTTTGCACAAACATTTATGACAACTAGACAAAGCTACCAAAAAATTATGACGATTTTTAAAATTCATAAAACAAAATGGCGGCCATTTTAAATTTTGTTTCTTAAATAACTCGAAAACTGTTGATTTTACAAAGATTTCTTAAGAATAACTTTTTTAAGGCAATTTTATTTCAAATCGATTGACACCTTAATTTTGAAGATTGGACAAGTATTAACTGAGATATGGTAGTTTTAGTGATACGTGACCGCTTTTAGCATGCGCTGCAACTAACCTCCAGCGGTTACGTATCAGTAAAACTACCATATCTCAGTTAATACTTGTCCAATCTTCAAAATTAAGGTGTTAATTGATTTGTAATAAAATTGCCTTAAAAAAGTTATTCTTGTAAAATATTTTTAAAATAAACAGTTTTTGAGTTATTTAAGAAACAAAATTTAAAATGGCCGCCATTTTGTTTTATGAATTTTAAAAATCGTCATAATTTTTTTGGTAGCTTTGTCTAGTTGTCATAAATGTTTGTGCAAAGTTTCAATTTCGTATGTTTAACCATTCCTTAGAAAAAATTAATAACTTAAAAAAACAAAATGGCGGCTGTGTGAGTAACTAAGGACTTCCGGACAATTTAAATATGATATTTAGGTATGTAAACAACCCAGGAAAAATGCCCTAAAATATTGGTAGAGAGTTCCGGGACACCCTGTATATCACGATTGTGTAGACAAGCTAAATAATTTAAATACTGTAGAACCTCTATTATCTGGAAGCAGATCAACTGGGCAACATACTATCTCTGATTTGATTTAAACAGCTTTCTTTGGAAAAATTCTAAGAAAATATAACTGCTCGACATTGATTACAGACTAATTAAATAGAGGCAAATAAAAAAACAGTAATCTTTGTAAAACTAAATGTTCTGAGTGTCCACAGTATTCTTGTTTAACTTTTCTCAGATTTTTTTGTAAACAGTTTTCGAGATGTTACCTTTGAAAGTTTAATACATTTCTCTATAAATAACATAGCATTGTACAGCTTAAACTTCTTATCTGATATGAGAACTTTTTCACACAAGCTGTATGTATCTGTCACATATTAGTGTAGGTTTTTTATTTTTTTTTTATTAAAATAAATTAGGCTTACTACAGTCAATAGCATATTACTAGTTTGTGTGCTAATGATTCCTACTGTTACAACAATACTTCAGTAACATTAAATTTACAAATATACTTTTGAGTGTTTTTGAAATTCATAATGTTGACAATTAAATTAAGTAAAACCTCGCTAAACTCGACACCAGGTAACTCGACAGACAACAGCTGACAGGAGGCTCATATAGTCTTACTTAGTCTTTGTCTTACTAATCCTGTTAGACTTTTCAAGTTTTGATTGTTAAATATTCCACATTTCTATAAAGATTGTTTACTCAATATGAAAAAAAAAACACATGTAAGTATTAAATTTATATGTAAAATTACTCTATTATGTATTCATTTATTGAAACCCATTAAACATTTCAATGTTCTAGATAAATCAACAACCTCTGGAGTCTGGGTCCACAAATTGTCGAGTAAGTGAAATTTCTGTACATTGGTGATGTGTCAAAACCGAATCTCAAAACCATCAAAACTTAGGAAAAGTTTCGGTTTTGAGATTCGATCACCAAGTTTCGAGATTCAAAAGTTTCGAAATTGAAGATTTTTGCAGTTTTATTTTTTAAACTAATGAAATTTTTTTGTGCCATTGTTATTGTTTTCAATGTTGTTTTTAATCATGCTGGTAGAAACGGAGCAAACATCACCATTAAGAGTAGCCTACCTAATGAAACAAGTAAATTTTATTCTGAACTTCAAAAGGTATCTTTAATACTATAACTGGTACAATTCAGTTTCACATAGGGATGGTCAAGTCTCGAAATTTCGGGAAATTTTAAATCTCGTTACACGAGACGAGATTTCTTTTTGGCCGAGATTTTTATCGAGACGAGAAAAAAAAAATTAAAAACGCCTGCAGAAAGTCAATGCAATACCCGCAATACAGGAGCGTTTTGTAGTTGCGTTTCCTTTGCGAAGGCGTTCTTATTTAATTAATTCTTTAAATGTAAATATTACTTTAATTATTTTAATAATATTACTTTAATAACATTTGAGAAGTTTTGTTAAGTGTAAGCAGTGTGAGGAATGTTTTATTACTATAAAAAGTCAAAACAAGTATCTATTTTATAAAAACTAATATTGATTTTATTTTATGATTTATTTTATTTTAAGATAAGTTGAACTCTATCCTAACTGATATCACTATGTTTCCTAATCGTAGGCATTTTTAATAAGTTAGGCGTGATTAATAAAAAAATGTTATGCTGATGTTTTAAAAAATTGTAAATATTCTTGCCTATTATCATTATTTTTGTATTTAAACAGTCATCTAACGATGTTACAAAATCAGGTAAAAATTTTGAACGTGCATTTCCCGTTGTGTATGAGAAGGGAAATCCCGTCTCGATCTCGTCTCGAAATTTTATGAGAAATAAAAAATCTCGTCTCGTCTCGTCTCGAACTAAAAATCCAATCTCGTCCATCCCTAGTTCACATCAATATTTACTAAACGCAAAGAAATATTGACCACTAAATGTTCTAATTAATCTAATATTCATGTTTATGTTGGTGTTAGAAGTTTAATTGTTTTTTGTTGTTTATGAAAAATTATGTTGCATTGGGTTTTAAGATTATCACTATTATCAGGCACATTCACATACTGTATTTATGTTATATTATGTCAGGAGTCGATTTCTTTCAGTTTTGATTGCATACTTAACATTTTAAACATTTTATGTTGTTTGACCTTTGTAACCAGCTAAGTAAAATAGTTTCGCGTTTAGGTTTTGAGATTCGAGATTCGGGATTCGATTTTTTAAAGTTTCGGTTTCGGTTTTGAGATTCAAAATTTCTGGTTTTGACGATCACTACTGTACATTACAATTTTAATCCTAAACCCAAGTCTTCTATCATTCATTTAATAAATTGTTTGTTACCCAAATGACCCAAATCCTCCTTCCCTGTGGCTTTAACCTACTATAAATAGATTAATAACATATAACATATATTGTTAATAACATATATTGTTTAAAGTGCATTCATTCCCTTCGGGAGCATACCATTCACCTAAACTATTGCTTATTGTTGTAATTTCTTACCTCTGTATTGCTGACTTTGGGATCCTTGCAGTGTTCAGGACAAAGTACTCGCAGGCGTTTACAGTAAGTGCGGTTGGCAGGGTTGTAAAAGTCACAAAACATATTGTTGCCTTCAATCCTTGTCTTGTATATTGACCCAAAAGAAGCCTGGCTTTCGTACTGTAAAAGAAATGATTAAAAAACCTTAGACAGACTAAAAATTAAACCAAATAATTTGGATATAAAAATAGTTTTGAATAAATAAATACACAGTTTCCCCAAATTTTTTTGCCCCCCATAAATAACCCTATTTAATTATTGTTAGTCATCTTATGTAAAAAAATGTTTAGGCCTACATTAGTGGTCAGGTACCTTCCAGACTAATTATCTCTAAATTTCATTGGATTTATGTTTTGTATTGTACACACACCGTGGCAAATCTATGAAACTGGACATACCAAATGTTTATTTACATCTGATTTGTAATATAGATGATTTGTTTTATTTTGAAAAAATATTATTATTAATTGTTTGAACTAGTAAAAAAGCTAAGTAGGAAATATTAATGTGTTTTTAAATTAATTTGTCTAAATAAAAATCAACTGTCAAATGAAAATTACTGCTTACCAAAAACCTAAAAACTAAACTACTAACTTTACTCAATTAAAAAAATCTTCACTCACAAAAAAATTTAATGGCCCAGAAAATTTATTCCTAACTACTTTCGCGTCATAGTACAGCTCGTGACATCTAAGCTGGCACTTGGCCGATCGCTACTAGTATCTAGTTAGTTAGTATCTAGTATCAGGTTGCATCTACTGACCTTGCTACCCATATGAAGGCACTCAAGTACATAATACAAGGGAATCCTGGGGAGTCAACCCTGTGAGGCAGCGGAAATATTTGCATTCCGGTCCCTACCTCCCTCCACCCTCCTTCCACCTACGCTGCCCGCACTAGGTCAAGTGCCAGCTTTTTCGGAATCAAAAGTGTTCCTTTGAATCAATTTGTTAAAAAATAATTTAATAACTTTATTATTCTCATTGTCAAGTCTACTACAGTTTTGGACATAGCTATACTTTTGACACTAATATCACTGCCATGTGACATGTAGTTTACACATATATTAGTTTTCTAAGTAATTCTCAAAAGATGAACTAGATCATGATATAGAGTCATTGGCAGAGCTGTTCCAGGAGTTGTTCACTGGCTCAACAACAACACGACTCAACCATAAATCACAGAACCATTTTACACCTTGCATACTTATAATAGACTACATTTGTCTTATTCATTCTAATTTAGATATCTTAGCACATGCAACTACCACTTGTTACAAGTCCCGAAACACATCACTGTGTTATATCGCTCTTTAACTGAGTTGGAACATGGAACGCTAAAACATATTTTAAGTAATTAAATTATGGCCGCCGTTAGGTTCAGGTCTTGCCAAGCAACAGGCAGATAAGGCAAAGCAGCAGCAGTTAAATTCAAACAACTTGTTATTACTGTATTCTACAAGTGGAGAGGATTGTCTCGCAACAGGCTTTACTTGTATAAAATACCAAGACTCAGCATCTTCTCTTCTTGAAATCCCTCTGCCTGACACGGTGGATGATAACATGGAGGCAAGAAGAAGTTAGCTTCTCAAGCCGGACAGCGATTTGCCCAACAATATCGCCAAACTTCAGAGTTACTGTACTACGCTAGGCTGGTTTGAGCATGAATACACCGTCTTAGAAGTCGGCCGATCTGGAGTCTTCTTTGCTGCTGTTAAAGTCAGGGGGGGTGGTGATAATTCCTTTGCAGTTAGCACGATCCCTTTTGATCCTCACTATCAACTCATTGTCAAAGGCTTAGCAGCTTTAAAAGCTCTTGAAGAACTTCCTCACTGAAGAATGTGAAATCCAATAGTAGTTCATCCTATCTCTTGTCCTCTCTCCTTAGTCATCTCCCTCCTTCTTAGTCATCTCTAAGCCGATACTAAGAAGAGGAACAAGCTTCGACAGATTCAATTTGGATGTTCACATTTTGGTGATATTTATGTACAATTTTGTGTTTGTTTTGTGGTAAAAACACTGCAATAGCAGAAAATGAAATAACACCTGAGGAGGACTCAGGAGATGAGATTGTGCCTCCTTCCCTGAAGGAGTGTTTCAAGCAAGACTGTCTCAATTAATGAAAATCAATTGGACAAAAACATAGAATTTGTCAACAACTCAAACAGTGCTGGAATCAGTTGTTTCATAGACATAGTCATGGACATAGATATATTTTATTTGCACATACCATTCTTTACATGTGGTGGTACGTAAAGAATATATGCAATGTATTAATTAAAATATCCTAATATAAACTAAAATAGAAAACATGAAGATAATCTAAATTAACGAAATTGAATGATTCTAAGCTAAAGATGTTAAGACAATCTACAATTGAATAAAAGGCTCTGCCAATTAGGTGATCGCCTATTTGATCTTAGAAATGATTTTCATTTAGCAGTTAACAGCTTGCAGGCTATATCCTGAATTTTGTAACCTCAATATCTACTTGACTCCAGTAGCCTGACCCCATGAGATCATACTGATACAATACCTCAATACATGCTTATAATTTGATATAAGCATGATAAACGGCCCTTGAGTGTGCAAAATTACAATTGACATGAATCTAAGTTAATTTTTAAATTAATCCAGATGTACATTCCCCTTAAGTGGTTCATCTAGCAGCAAAATCAGTGATCTTATTTTTCTGTCAAGGAAAAATTTGGATGATTTCCCCCAATTGCATCAATATCGGTGACGATTCTTTGCAATCACAGTAAAATCCTTGATGATTTCCTGCAATTGCGGCAACATTTATGGTGAGTTTCAGTGATCGCGACAAAATCCAATATGATTTCCAGCGATCGAGGTAACATCCGTGTTGATTTCTTGTCATCGCGGCAACTCCCAACATATTTTTTGCAACTGGGGCAACGTCTATTATTCGTGATAGTTTCCTGGGATCCTTATTTTCAAATATGCAAAACAAACAAAAAACCGGCGATTTCAGGAAGATTTTAGCAATTATTCAAACATTTAAATTTCCCGGTTATTTACAAACTCACGCACAATTCACAGATTTTAGCCCGTCATCAAAATTCACTTACAATTCCCGGGTTTTGTGGCTTCGGAGTCGGCTGGACATCGTGACTGAGCTTTTATACCCTTATAATTGTAATATAAGAAAAGACCACACAAATCTCAACAATTAATTTGTTGTTTGTTGATGTTTGTAGAACCCCGGCTAACCGAATTCAGGTTAACCAAATCCTGGGTTAACCGAAACGGCTCCATGAAATAATACAGGGCTAAAATATAAGTAATACCAATGCTTTAGTAACTTCAGTTGTTTAGTTTAAAGTATTTTCTAACCCATTGTTAAATTTCTGTAGCTAAAATAAAATACTGTGTTATATAGACAATGTTTTAAATTTATTTTCTAACTCACCATGGTAATACATAGGCTGTTTTTAGCATATGACGGGTAAACCAAAAAATTTTTTAACCGAAAAATTGGTTATCCGAAACGGCTCTCCCCTCTTTATTTCGGTTAACCAGGGTTCTACTGTAGTTAAGCAGGCATTTAGTTATCAGAATATCCTAGTTTAAAGACAGATGTAAGCTATTATCTAAGGAGGAATCTACATTTATCACTAGATTGCTCTCACAGCTACTTTTGACAGCCAAATACGGCCAAACATGGACAGTCTTCTGAAGATCCGAAGGTAGGAGCTACCAAGCCCTTGGCAATGAGTTGGTCGCATTGATCAAAATGAATCGTTCCAACAGTGGAGGAGTTATTACCACCTCCATTGACCATTAACAGTAGCAAAGTAGACTCAAGATCATCCGACTTCAACGACAGTGTACTTAAGCTCAAACCAGCCTAGCGTAGCAGAGTAACTATGCAGTAAGGCGATCTTGTTGGGCAAATCGCGATTGTCGGGTTTGAGAAGCCCCCTTCTTCTTGCCTCCATTTGCTGCTTGGCTTTTTCAGCCTCCTGCTTGGCGAGGCCTGCACTGACCAGCTGAACAGCCCTTTTATTATGGTGTGATGTATTTAAGTCAAATTTTTATGACTTTGTCACAGAACATAAAAGCATCATTCCACGCTTTTCGCGCATTGCTGAAAAACTTGGGCCGCTGTACCCAAATTTGAGGCATACGCTATTATCATTTTGCTTCTTCATTTAGTATGTTTCTGAACCTACCTTGTTGAAGCATTTCTCCATATGTTTGATGGCAGTGCGTGAATGGATCTCGTGTCCACAGGTAATACAATACATACTCATTTCTCCTTCTTCTTCTGTCTCCTCTTCGTTTTCTTCTATCAGCGCATTCTTAGCTCTCTCTAGGATAGCATCTAGCTCCTGTAAGAATATATTGATAATCAGCTAAACTTAACTAATGAAATTATTCTCTGATTCGCCCCCCAATATAAAAAAGTTGTTTGTATTATGAATTAACGATAACATTGAAATATTTCTGAATATATAACAATCTTTTGGTTATATTGAAGCAAAATTGGCTGTTTTCACTAGATGAGTTGCGGCTACAGTATTACTTTTTATCTGTAGAGCAAAAAAGAATAACCTGGATTCGAGGACACTAAACAGGAGAATAATTATTATGATAAATATTTTTTGTGTTTATCATTGTGTAAAAAGTATATTCCCCACACTTTGATGTTTATAAAAAAAACTATTTTTTCATGAATGACGATTCAAATTGACGATTGAGGCTTTTAGAAACTCTACCCCAATACATATGTATAAAATTGTAAAGAATTTACTGTATAATATTTGTACAACTTATAATTACGACGTAAACTCTGATACAAAGTAAAATCACACCAAAACTTGTTAGTTGTTGGTCAACAGAGATTCAGGTTAGTTACTCAGACAAATATTCACAAAGTAACAGCTGATAACTTCAGCACCAGTGGTGCAATCTAAAACAATTTATTACCACAATGCACAGAATTTCATGGACTTTTTAATGAGACACTTTATCATATAGGCCAGTAAAAATAGGTTTTTGCCCGGAAATAATTCTCGGAAAGCTGGAAATCGTTTTAATCCTTTTGTTTTGTATAGAAGTAAAAGGATTTGAAGTTTGTCCCATTTTTCCAGGTGAGCTTCTGACCTGGGACCACAAAAACCTTGAAATTTAGGGTTATTTTTTAGTTTTTTACTAAAACGTCAAAGAACCGTCCAGCCTACAGAAAAACACATAATAAAAGAATTGTAGAGTATAGAATTCCGCATCCATTGAGTATCTGGTGATGAAAATCGAACCGATATTAAGTTATTTATAGTAATTTAAATAAAGTTATTTTATTAAGAAATATTGAACATTGCATTTATATTTCTTCTAGAAAATGGATTCCAAGTACATTATTGTTTACAAAGTAATTAATACGAATTACAAATACCCTTGCCGCAGCAAACCTACAGACTAAGGGATTTTCCATTTACCTGGCTGGATTTATACTAAAATATTCCCTAAAAATTGTCAGACTTATTTCCTATTTGATTAACATTAATTTTAGTGAGTACTTAGGTTTGCTGCAACAGGGAAGATATTGAGATGTGTTTTTTATTGCAATGTCGATAGCTTAGTATTAAATAAAGAAAATTTCCAAATTTGGTTGAAATATATCCATAAACAAGCAAACTTCAACAGTTTGTTTATCCTCCATAAGAATTGCATGGTAGTTTAAATTTACATTTTTTTTTTATAATCCCCGTAACCGTTGGGCATACAACAACGCTTCAATATACAAATAAATTATTTATTTTTTAAGCTCTACATAATCGTTTGGAGAAAAATAGTAAAATTTTTTGCTTTTTGGGTCAAAAAAGGGAAAAATCAATATTTACCCTATAAAGCCCCCCATAAACCCCCTCTCCCATAGTACGATTATGATGGTTCGTGAACTTATTAGAATAAATGTAGTTTTACACGTTCGTACCAAATTTCATCAAAATCGGATCATTGAACATTTCATATTTAACATTTATATTACTTCTAGAAAATGGATTCTAAGTACATTATTATTTACAAAGTAATTAATACGAATTAAAAAAACTGACTTTTTTTGTCTCTTTTGTCGTGAATCATGAATTGCAGGTCTAACTTCCTCCTCCTCTGTGCGCGTCTCATAGCTTATTTTTGGGTTTTCTTTGCCTGGTGGGTTGGTGCAAGAAACGCCTTTAGAGTGTTGTATATTTGACTCCGCATGGGATACTTCCAAATCCAACAAGTGTTGAAGCTGCACCACAAGATCTTCTTAACAATATCTCATGTAAGTGTGCAAAAGGATGTAAAAGTGGTTGCACTTGTTGGAAGAACGGAGTCAAATGTATGAGGAATGTTTTTTAAGTTCTCCGTTCCAGCGCTGCGATTTTGGACATTTGCGCTGTGTATGTGCATCTATTGGCAAGCCTGCACCACCCACTGCATTGCTCATCGTGAACGTTAGTGGGGCCGTCTTTAAATGCCCTTACCCACTCGTGTAACATTCCGTCACTCATAATGTTCTCGCCATACACTTGATAAGTCTTTAGATGACTTTTAATGGCATTCACGCCATTAGCAGTTAAAACCCTAATTACAGCACGCACTTCACAGTCGGCGGCAGCCTCAATTGGCGGCAACATTTTGAATGCTCGAAGCCGTATGTAAACACGGCCGATTTTTGCCGAATTTCCGGTGCAGGCTTGCCAGTAGATGCACATACATAGCGCAAATGTCCAAAATGCCAATCGCAGCTCTGGAACGGAGAAATTTAAAAACGGAACTTACTTAAAAAAAAAACATGCCTCTTACAACTCTGGGTGTTTCTTGCACCAATCCATCAGAAAAAGAAAAACCACAAATAAGCTATGATGCCCGTACAGAGGAGGAGGCAGTTAGACCTGCAGTTCCGGATTTACCACGAAAGAGACAAAAAAATCTTATAAGATTTTAGCGAATTTCCCATATAGCGAATGAGCAATTACTGCAGGTCTCATGGTAAGACCTAGACCCGGAACCGATTTACTTTTTCGTTTTAGGGTCCCCAGAAGCCAAAAACACCATCCGTTTGAATATGTATAAATATTTACCTAATTATTTATGTATGTTATATATGTCCGTTAGCGCGATAACTCGAGCAAAAATGATCAGATTTTGATGAAATTTTGTACAAACGTGTAAACCTACATTTATTCGAACGAGTTTACGAACCATCATAATCGTACTATGGGAGCGGGGGTTTATGGGGGGTTTTATATGGTAAAAATGTATAGACCCAAAAAGCACACAATTTCATAATTCCTCTCCAAACCATTTTGTAGAGCATAAAAAAATAAATAATTTATTTGTATATTGAAGCGTTGTTGTATGCCCAACGGTTACGGGGATAATAAAAAAAAATTAAATTTAAATTACCATGTTACTCTTATGGAGGATAAATAAACTGTTGAAGTTTGCTTGTTTATGGATATATTTCAACCAAATTTGGAAAATTTCTTTATTTAATACTAAGCTATTGACATTGCAATAAAAAACACATCTCAATACCTTCCCTGTTGCAGCAAACCTAAGTACTCACTAAAATTAATGATAATTAAATAGGAAATAAATCTGACAATTTTTAGGGAATATTTTAGTATAAATCCAGCCAGGTAAATGGAAAATCACTTAGTCTGTAGGTTTGCTGCGGCGAGGGTATTTGTAATTTGTATTAATTACTTTGTAAATAATAATGTACTTGGAATCCATTTTCTAGAAGAAATATAAATGTTAAATATGCAATGTTAAATATTTCTTAATAAAATAACTTTATTTAAATTACTATTAAATAACTTAATATCGGTTCGATTTTCATCACCAGATACTCAATGGATGCGGAATTTTATACTCTACAATTCTTTTATTATGTGTTTTTCTGTAGGCTGGACGGTTCTTTGACGTTTTAGTAAAAAACTAAAAAATAACCCTAAATTTCAAGGTTTTTGTGGTCCCAGGTCAGAAGCTCACCTGGAAAAATGGGACAAACTTCAAATCCTTTTACTTCTATACAAAACAAAAGGATTAAAACGATTTCCAGATTTTTTTAACTAATTTTACTGGCCTACATATGGATAATTATATATTTCAGTGAATAAAACGTGTTTTAAAACTGTGACTATTATAGTCGCTCTACTACTTCACGAACAAGTAAAAATAGATTGATTGGTTTTTGTTGTTGTGTTGTGAGATCATGTTTTTTGTACCATAATATTGGAAAATATGCTTAGGCCAACGTTTTATTTTCTTAACGAACCTACACTAATGAAAAATAATCAGTTTTAAAATTAAAATAGTGAAATGTATTTTGTTTCAAAAATAAAACAATTAAGTAGCCTAATTTAAAATGAGGTACCAATGGTACTAAAACCGAGAATCAATTTTGGCTAAGAACCAGTACTGGTACCGACATTGAAAAAGTGGTACCGACTCATCACTAGTTTACTCCAAATTAATGGTTAAAAACAATTGTAAAATGGAATAAGTTTTATACTGTTAGGAAAATACGATCTAAACTTAGTCTTTGTTGCATAGATGAACTTGATCTCACAAAGGGATCACTATAATTGAGTAATAAAGTGAACAAAAATTTTGAGCAAAGTTAGTTGTACCATGTACACGTCACAAAACTGCCAAAAATGGTATGTTTCAAAAAATCATAACAAGATATATTTCATGTCTACAAAGAAATGAGTGGTACCACTGCAATAAGGAAGAAATTTTTCATATTATGGTGCAAAAATAATTTGGGTATAATTAGATATGATCTTACAACAAAAAAACCAATTTTAACGTGTTCGTGGCAGAGCAACTATAATAGTCGCAGTCGTAAAACACATTTTATTCACTGATATATATAGTTATCCATATGATAATGTATCTCATTTGAAAGCTCATAAATTTCTGTGCATTGTGATATTTAATTGTTTTGATGTGATAAAAAGGTTTACACTTGGAAATTGGCTAGTTAGAATGTTTCATTGCATTTTTTTACTTGAAAAACACCGTAATAGCGTACCTCAAAAATATTAATAGAAAGACATAAAGACAGGGGTTGTTGTAGTATAACCAATCCATTCAGAAAACTTGGTAAAACTATTTAAAAAATGGTACTGGTATTGAGAATGTTTTTTAGGTATCGGTATCGAGAATCGATAAATTTTGGTATCAACCACCAATTCATCAACCATCACCAATTCATCAAATATTGTTAACGCTTCTGCTACATTATATGTAGGGATGGACGAGATTGGATTTTTAGTTCGAGACGAGACGAGACGAGATTTTTTATTTCTTATAAAATTTCGAGACGAGATCGAGACGGGATTTCCCTTCTCATACACAACGGGAAATGCACGTTCGGAATTTTTACCTGATTTTGTAACATTGTTAGATGACTGTTTAAATACAAAAATAATGATAATAGGCAAGAATATTTACAATCCTTTATTAAAAAACATCAGCATAACATTTTTTTATTAATCACGCCTAAATTATTAAAAATGCCTACGATTAGGAAACATAGTGATATCAGTTAGGATAGAGTTCAACTTATCCTAAAATAAAATAAATCATAAAATAAAATATTAATTTTTATAAAATAGTTACTTGTTTTGACTTTTTTTATAGTAATAAAACATTCCTTACACTGCTAACACTTAACAAAACTTCTCAAATGTAATTAAAATAATTAAAGTAATATTTACATTTGAAGAATTATTTAAATAAGAACGCCTTCGCAAAGGAAACGCAACTACAACACGCTCCTGTATTGCGGGTATTGCATTGACTTTCTGCAGGAGTTTTTATTTTTTTTTTTTTATTTTTTTTTTTTTAATTCTCGTCTCGATAAAAATCTCGGCCAAAAAGAAATCTCGTCTCGTGTAACGAGATTTAAAATTTCCCGAAAATTTCCCGAAATTTCGAGACTTGACCATCCCTAATTATATGTTATTTTTATTTGAATGTGTTTGGCTATTTAAGTGTTTTTGTTTTTGTTGTTGTTGTTCAAATAAGTTTTTTTTAAATCCCTTAAGTTTTGTACCAACCTATACTAATGCAAAATACTGTAAAATTAAAATTCTGTATAGATATCATGTTTTAAAATTGGAAAATTAAGTAGCCTACCCTAAAAAATTAAAATAAGGTACCGATGGCACTGGAACCGAGAACCGAGAATCGATTTTGGCTAGGAACCGGTACCGGTACTGACTTTGAAAAAGTGGTACCGACCCATCACTAATACTAACCAAATGGCGTTTGTCTAGTTCTTGCAATATATTCTTGACTTCCCATTGCTGCTTGCGTATAGTATCCAACTGTTGTCTGTTCATAGTCTCCGCTATGCTAGGAGTCACGGCCCACTCCTGTATCCGTTGAGGCAGTACCTACACATGGAAACATGAATCAGTACTTTTCTGCAAACAAACTAACATTATCTATATTTGGATATTGAATGTGGGAAGTGTCAGTTTAGAATGTGTAAAAAATAGATGGGACGAAGAAAATATGGTAGGAGGAATAATTCTGTTGACTAGACTGCAAGTCCATCTTGAGTTGATGTTGGTTGATCTTGATTATTAATAAGAGTGTGTAAGAAACATTAGTATAAGTTTTAGGATGTACAATAGAACCCCTCATATTCGGCCTCAGAATTTCAGGTCCTCGGTTTATCCAGTCCCATCCCGAAATCAATACCAAAAATATTTCCCCTGGCTGTACACGTACTAACGTAGTCTCCATTACTTGAGCGTTCTCACGGATTGTCTGTTTCCTGTTCATATATCCACTACTTACTTAAACTAGTAGATTCTAAAAACAGACTTAAACACTACATTTAACACATCACAAGTTGTTATTAGAGAAAAATTATCGTTTTAATAATAGTTTGGTTTATCCGGCCAAAATGTTATCCGGACAGGGGCTCGGCCCCAAGAAGGCCGTTGAGAGCCGTTGGATGAGGGGTTTTACTATTTGATGCTCATGGTCAGAATGTGTACCACAGGGTGAGGCAATGAAGCACCCCAATTAAACCCAGTTTGATTTTCCGAGTCTAAGGTAAATGTGATTCTTTTATCCATTTTAAAAATATTTATTAAAATAAAATGTTGTTAGTCTCAAACAAAGTACATGTAGGAATTACAAAAATATAAAACTTCCCCGTCAAAACCATCCAATAGTACATAAAGGCTGATTAATTAACTATTTGAAAGCACAAAAAAGATGTCAAACAACACTTGTAATAATATATTATTTTCACTTATACGGTTTACCTACAAGACAGTAAATACATATAAAAGATGGTAAGTGGTGATCGATTTCGATTAGACACTCCAACCATCATCAGACCCAATAGGCGAATGACACACAACCATGATATGAGCTTAACATATTTTATATGTATTTATCGTCTTGTGAGTAAACAGTATAAGTGTAAATACTAAATATATTATTATAAGTGTTATTGTGTTATAAAATTATTGACTATTTTTTTTGCTTTCAAGTAATTTAATAACACATAGGATACTGATCAAAAAGTTATTTAATTAAATGTTTGTGTGTAATAAATGAAAATTATGAGAGAAAAATGAGTAAGCCATGTTAACAAGAAGAACCACAATAGAATAATGTTTATTTGTACAGTATAATGAATAATTTAAAAATCATCAGCTGTAATTAATTTTAAACAGGATAAAGAACAAAATAACTAAAAGAACTGAACAAACTATACCATGGATAAACATTTAACTTTTCCATCCGCTCACCTGATAGATGCGGTTGGTGGCTAGGAGACGACCACACTCATTGCTACAATACTTGCTGTTGGGTCGGTTCTGGCGGGTACAGTTAGGCCCATAGCACTGCATGGGACCAATCACCTTTGTGCTGTGTACATACTCTACATCAGAGTCTGACTGAGTCTTCTTACTCTCTGTAGCAACCCCGGCAGTAGTCTTGCGACCTCTCCGTCCCATCACATTGCCCTTCTGACAACACATTACAAGAATTTGTCAATAGGCAAGTACATCCACAATAACATCACATATTAAAATTGTGTTTCAAAATATTCTATAATGCTATAATGACATGGCATGGTAAAGATAAGCGTCTCACTCTCAAAGGCAAGCGGTTAAATACCTTTGTGTATTGATCTCAGAAGCACAAGCCAAAAGAAATTTAAAAGTGAGAAAATATTTTTCATTGAGAAAGTCTTTTTCAAGTGAGTAGGCCTACAGAAGTTCAATTATCAAGATCGTCAATTATCCAGATAACCTCAAGGAACAAGTAAAAATCAGCCAGATATTTAGAAAAACACCATGAACTCTTCTTACTTTCTGTTATTGTCAGTGAGGAGATCGGGGACAGAGTAGGTCTTCTCCAGCACAGGGTTATGGCAGATCACACAGATATGACTATCATGGCACAATAGATATATATTTTTGTTCCTGAATAATTATTCTGTAGTGATATTCAATATAAATTTTATATTGAGGGTGTTTAGCGTTCCATAAATATAAAATTCAAGGACAATGTCAGGTTTTCCAGGTTCAAAATTCAAAATTTCTAGGAGAAAAAGAAAGGAAAGTTTAGATGACTAAACTGTACCCAAAAAATAAAAAATTACAATCAAAATTAGCATCCATGCATCTTTTAATTGTATACTGACCGAAAAATTAACCAAGAATCTAAAAAAATCATTTAAACGTAACATCAGGAATAAGAATTAGACTGGCTGATAACCATCCGATTACAAGAAATATACCTGTTTCGCCTCGAACAATGCTATTGTTATCTTAAGTTTGAATTCTAATAAAATTATTCAGACTTAAGTCTGGTTTTTGGTTTCAGTTCATTATGATATTAGTATAAGACAGGGCTTTAATTTCTGAAATCCTAATCCTAAAAAACTTAAGTCTCAAACCAAGAACACAAATTCAAATGTGATCAAATACAACGGAGATATTTCTGTAAAAATCTATTCTTCATGTTAATTTGCTTGACTTCTAAAAAATACTGCAAGTACAAGGTAACAATAACAATAGGTTCTAGAATGTTAACGCTGGAATGATAAAGTTTTAAGCATCATACGCAAACATGGCAAATTACGAGATAATACCCCAAGATTCCTGTTACATCAGTGATCATATCTTACGATCGCAATAAGATATGAGATGATTTACGCAGTCGTGGCAACGTCCGTGATGATATCCAGTGATGTCAGACATCCGGGGTTGCGTCAACACTTTGTTTATTTCCTGCGATCGCAAATACAATCTGTAATAATTTCCCACCATCGCAGCAAAGACTGATATCATTACTTGCGATCATGAGATACTTGCACTAGAATTGCTGAAACGTCGTGAGCATCTCACACGATAGCGGCAAAGTCTGTGATAATTTCTCAAGATCACGGCAACACACGTGGTGGTTTCTTACAATCGCGGCAAAGTCCGAGATCATTTCTTACGGTCGCAGCAACATCCGTGATCATTTCTTGCAAACTTTACATATCTTTTGCTTTTCCCGGTCATCAAATTCACGGTTTCCAGGTTGGCTGGACACCCTGCTACAAGATTTTATATTTCATTATTACCTAGGTTGATACTGCAATGATTATAGAATCTTCATATTATTTCCTATATCCACGAATATCAATATCCTGATGATGTCACTTTTAAAATCCGCAATTCATCTTTATCAAATTTAGGAAATCATTGTTCTGATAGTAATATATATATAATAGAAGTAATATTCAGAAACCAAGTTCAGATGCAGAACAATAGATGAGCAGATACTTAATAAATTGATTGATTCGTTGAAACCAAAGTGGTCATCAGGATATGATGAAATACCTATCAAAATTTTAAAAGAAGCAAAATCAGTACTGTTAAAGCCATTGATACATGTAATCAACTCATCCCTAACAACTGGCATTTATCCTACTCAATTAAAAATTTCTAAGATTATTCCTGTTTTTAAAAAAGGGAAACATAAGGATGCCTCGAATTATAGGCCGTTAGCTATACAACCATCACTCTCTAAACTTTTTGAAAAAAGTATGCTTTATCAATTGATAGATTATTTTGAAAATAATAATATGTTGGACCAAGATCAACATGGTTATAGAAAAGAAAAGTCCACCATAACAGCATTGATATCTTTTATTGAAGATATTTTAGAGAATTTGGATAAAGATAACTGTATTATTCGTGCTTTTTTAGACATGTCTAAAGCCTTTGATAGTGTTCACCATCCTACCTTAATAAATAAGCTTAAAAATTATGGTATTGATGGTAAACAATTAAACTGGATAAGGTCTTATTTGGAAGAAAGGCAACAGTATGTCAGTGTTAGATTTGTTGAGAAGCAAAATTTGTACAATATAAAATCTAAGTTAAGGCAGGTACAATACTCGGTTCCTCAAGGATCGGTTCTTGGACCGTTCCTATTCTTGTGTTATCTGGGAGGTATGCAGGAACACCTAACTAATAAAATCCAGAATACCAAACTATGTTTACATGCAGACGACATCAGTATGTCAATACATGACAAGAATACAAACAGTATAGAATCCAAAATAGAAAATGCCATTTCAATAGTAAACACTTTCCTCAATAATAAAAATCTTTTACTAAATAAGAACAAAACTACTTTGGTTAAATTTTCTTGTAAAAACTCAAAAAACAATGAAATTTTTAATAACTTTGAGAATAACACCAAGTTTTTAGGTCTTATAGTTGATAAAACATTAACCTGGTCCAAACATGTTGATCATGTTTGTAAGAAAATAAGTTCTGGAATCTTTATAATTAATAGACTTCAACCTTTTTGCAATGTACAAACCCTTAAAACAGTTTACTATGCCCACATTCACTCCCATATAACTTATGGCATTGAAATTTATGGGGGTACGAGTAATCAAAATTTAAAAAAGAATTTTATTATTACAAATGGAAGCTATTAGACACATCCTAAATTTAGAAAGAACCTATAGCAAAAATTCTTTAAGAAAATATTTCAAAGATTTGGAAATTTTAACAGTTCCGTGTTTATATATCTATAAAACAATTCTTTATGTAAAAAATAATGAATCAAAATTAGAGCGACAACAGGATATCCACAGTTACAATACTAGATACAAACAAAATTTCACAATTAAAAATCATAAAAAAGAAAAATATAAGCAAAGTCCTCAGTATATTGGCATTAAATTTATCCATCAACTCCCAGATAGCATAAGGAAGGAGCAATGCACAATTAAATTTAAAAAGAAACTGAAACAATTTTTAATAGGAAATTCTTTTTATAGTCTGGATGATTTTTTTAACTTTAAGTAATGTATTTATTTTATCTAACTTAAGCAATGTATTATTTTATCTAAAAACTGCTAGTATACAAATCTTTTAACTTTATGTAATATATTCCTTTATGTTATTTAAAAATAACATAATGACGCATTCATGTACGATTTATCTGTACGTTTTGAATAAAGATTTTATTGATTGATTGATTGATACTTAAATATATTAAATATTTTTTTTTAATTCCCATCAGCTCTTGTTAAATTTAAGCAAAAGTAATTTTATGGTTTTTACAACAGGAAAAATAAAACAAATTGTACAGCCTGTAATTCAATTTCAAAATAATAAATTGGATGAAATCACCACAACAAGGTTTTTACGATTAATTGTAGACAAAAATCTTACATGGAATAAGCATGTTGACCAGGTAGTCAACAAAATTACTTCTGGTATCCATGCTATTAATAGAATGTCAAAATTTTGCTCAATAGAAACATTAAAGATTCTTTGTTTTGCTTTTATTGAATCATATATCTTAATATGTCTAAAAATGAATTTCCATTTGCCTGTCTGGATTTTTACTCAAATATTTCCTAAAAATGTAAGATAGAATCCCCATAACTTTAAATTTAACGAGTACTAGGTTTACTGCTATGGAGAGAGTTATAAAGTGTGTAGGCTACTGTATTTATGTTAAATATCTTTAGCTTAGTATATAATAAAATAGTAAATAAAATAGTAGTAATAAAATAAGTTTGATCAAAATATATCCATAAATACGCAAACTGCAATAATTTCCTTTTCCTTCATAAGAATAACATGGGAATTTTAAATTTAATACTATTTTTATTATTTATCTCAATAACGTTTAGAGATAGAGCAAACCTTGTAATATAAAAAATGTATTTTTAGATGTTCTTTAACTGCTGTATTTACAAAAATTCTCTAATACAGTACCAATAGTTTGTGAAATATTGTCAAAAAGTTCAAATTGGCTGCCATTTTCCAAGATGGCGGCTAAAGCACAGCTGGAATTTATGGGGACTTTTGAAATGTTCTTTATTTAGGCTTACTTAACAACTATGCAATGTTTCCACTTAGTCCGAATTTGTTAGGTCGAATCACATTTTTACCCCTAAAATTCTTGGACTAAAACAAGTAACTGAAAGAATCCTATACTAATGAAATTACATTAACATATGGTTTGACAGCTCCATTTAAGCAATGTTAAATGTTTACATTCGGGATAGTGACATCATTATTTTAAATTTATGATCCTTACCCTGTACCTGTTCTTAATATTCGTGCAGTATTTAATTTGTTTGAACCAGCATACTTAAAAGAAAAATGTGAATGTCAGGCATTGGAAGCAGTCGACAGCTTTAAATATCTAAGAATAATTTGTAGATCATAATTTAAATTGGGATGGTCATATATACTTTATATAAAAGATAAACTTCAAGCATGTGCCTCAAAACTGTACCACTTACAAGATTACTTACCATTTAAGACATTAAAAGTTATTTATGCAACTATGTGCGAGTCACTTCTTAGATATGAATTAAGATCTTGGGGAAATGCCTCAATATCAGAATTACAGAAACTGCAGACTGTCCAAACAAGAATATTAAAGATAATCACTAAGCTTGATTCTGCTATTGTAAATGAATTTCCAAAGCTGTGTTATCAGTTGACAGGTGTTCTGCCAGTAGAAAAACTGTTTGCTTATTTGTTGATTATTACTATTCAGATAAGTTCTGAACAAAAAATGTCCATAGATATAACTCCAGGAAGGAATTTTTTTTGTTCCTAGTATAAGAAATAAGTATACAAAACGAACAAAGAGTTATTTGGTACCAACACTATTCAATAATTTGTCACAAAGTCTAAAAGAGGTAAAAACTAATAAATTGTTGAAAAATCTTTATTTATTTGAATAGTAGAGAATTCAAAAACTCTTTTGCTTATTTTTGTCTGTTTTTGTTCAAAATCTAAATTATAATTGAATATCATGATTAATCTTTATAGTCATTTTAATTCTTTGTTACTGTTGATATTTAAATTTTAAAACTTGTTATACTCATGTTAAGAAGTTTTAGGTAAAATATTATTACTTATATCTATTTTGTTACTGTTTTTCTTTGCTCAACTATTTTATGTTTCAACTTTATATGTTAACACTCATGTTATGTAGTTGTTTAGTTTGTTGGTTCAAGCTTTGTTACTGTTTAGGAAGGAAAAACTAATAAATTATGAAATAATATAATTTAATTTATAACCAAGAAATGCTACGGACAAGCCTTTTATGAGGCTTATGAAGCTTAGTTTTATAATGCCCTTTGTCATTGTGTTTGTATTGAAGAAATAAATTTAATTGAATTGAATTGAATTCACACCTTAACTCTAGAATCAGACCTACAACACTTAAGACAAAACCAAACAAGCAGATTGATCAGTTATCGTTGTAAAATGGAGTGATTCCATTCATCAACACCAATTCCTTGTAAAATTACATCTGTTAATATAAAAACTAAGACTTACAGATGTAAGAGAATTCATGAGTGCCGTGATGATTCACAAACTGCACTCACTGATCTAACAGTATGAGAGAGCCCTTATCTTAGGACAAATGGCCCATTAATTAAAAAAATTGTTCAGCTTATCAATAGCCATTACACTGATGCTAGCTAGTGAAGCTGCGAGAAGCCAAACTAAACAGTTCAAGTAGGCCTACACTAACAATAGTATGGGTGAATCCAAAACTAAAAACAAATCTAACAACCATTTTTGTTGGGATAGGTTTAGTTGTTGATGTGCTTAAATATTATTATGTATTTGCCGTTTTCTATTGTTTAAACAAAAGTGCAGATAAAAGTGGGCAAATCTTAAATGAATTAGTCCACTTTATATGCTTTATAAACAATTAAACATACAGTATTTTTAAAACCCTATAATATTAGTAAGTTTGGAATCTTATATTAATCGTTCATTTAATTATATTTATTGGTATAATTTATATGTTTCCAGACAGTATTACTTCAAGCCAGTCAAATTAGGTGATCACTACAAATTTCAAGTTATACAATAGGTCTACCATATGAAAAACCAAACAAACATCCATGCACATAATATAAATTTGTATCAAGTAAATGTTGTTCAAACATATAATTACCTGAATATTTAATCAATTTGAGATCTTGGGATCATTACATGCATTGTTAATTAAGATAAGTGTCTACTTCCCTTAAAATACTGACTTTCTGTGACAGCATTTTAAACTCAATCAACTATTTTCTCACAATATTACAGTTTAATCCTCTAAAATAGTCTATTTTCTAATTGTAAAATTGTAATGCCGACCAAATATGCAAAACTAACATTAAATATTGTTGAACATTTTGATTTATCAAATAGAGCAATGTCTTGTTTTTATACAGGGTGTCCCTAAACAACTTGTACCCCCTTTTGTGGGATTGCTCCTAATCCTTGCCTAGAGACAAAAAGATTTTGCAATATAACCATGGGCCTCCCATGCCTAGTGTTCCATCTAACTATATTACTCCGATTTGTTATTGTAATATTTAGACAAACTAAGAATCAAAATTACTATTTGTCAGGATAGATATATAGGTCTTCTTCCGAGGTCTTCCACGTTTGATTCCTTAAAGATTAACCTTGAAAACATTTAACACTGATATGTACCTAATAAACCAAACTAAAAATAACTATCCTTAAAAAATTTTGGTCCAAACTAACCACCAATACAGTTATTTTTGATTACACTTTAAATCATATTATGACAATACAATAGCCTGTATCAGCTGTTTTTTGTTAACTACAGCTATAAAAAAAGTATTGACAATAATATTGGGACTTTCAAGGGCTGTAGGACGGAAACTGGATTATTTCAAGTCTTGTGACTAGCTCCAATCAATTTTTCTTGGCCAAATACCCCATTTATAACCAAAAAATTAAATATCCTCGAACAAAAAAAAAGTGAAGGTATCGGTACCGACATTTCACCATCGATTCTCGGTTCCAGTTTTTTCCCAAGAACCGGTGGAACCGAAATTTGACGCAAGTACTAGTTTTATGTGTTTGTTGTGTTTAAATGTTCATCACTATTTTTATGTGTTTGAAAAATAATATTCATATTTGAAAACGAAATTTTTTTTTCTTAAAAAATATAGAAAGATTTATAAAAGTCATAAATATTTATAGGACCTAATGATCATTTTCCATGAAGAATTCTTACTTTTTTAATTTCTAATGTTACTCCCTTTACAAAAATATGCCTTGACACTAGAGCATTTATATGTTTATTTATGTGTGTGTTCACCCATTGCCAGTTGGAGGGTTAATGAAGCCATTCATACATGTGTTACTTTAACTTAACAGTAAATTACTCACAGCAACTTTTAGGCACTGACGTTTGAAACATTTCTCTCGTTGTCTACTGCTACCGAACCTCTTGGCGTCCTTGCAAGCCTGGCAAGTGCCACAATCTTCATGACGTCCACAGTTAATGCATTGACCACAAGCACTTTTGCTCTTTTTGTCAGTACCTACAAAAGAAAATTTGGATAATCAAAAGAGGTTAGCAAGAAGTTAACTCCTGCTGCAACTGTACTCTTATTTAGGCATAAACTACAAATAATGTTAAACATGGAATGATTTTATGATTACAAGGTATAGTATTATAGATAGAAGTGATATAGGTAGGCCTAACTAAAAAATGTTGGCTATTCCCATTACTTCACATAGATTCTGTATACTTTAGAATCGTTTATGCCATATAAACTATCAGAGAGTAAAATAAATAAGAGAGTAAGTATAATTATACTGTAGTGGACTCAATTAGTGGGTCATGCATCTATGTCCTATAAAGATGGGATGTCTACTTCAGTTTCCAATGTAATGTTATATATAATATAACCCAGGACCGACTTACTTTTTTGTTTTGAAGTCCCCAGAGACCAAAAACCCCATCCGTTCAAATTCATATATAGGCCTATATATTTATTTATATATGTGTGTCCATTAGCACGATAACTCAAACAAAAATGATCCAATTTCAATGAAATTTTGTATAAATGTGTAAACCTACATTTATTCGAACGAGATCGCAAATCAGCATGATCTGACCATGGGAACGGGGGTTTATGGGGGTTTTATGGGGTAAAAATGGGGTTTTCCCATTTTTGACCCTAAAAAATTTTAATTTTAGAATTTTTTCCCCCAACCATTTTGTAGAGCTTTAAAAAATTAGTATATTGAAGCATTGTTGTATGCCTAATGGTTACGGAGAAAATTCAAAAAAGTGAAAATTTTAAATTCCTGTGTTATTCTTAGGGAGAAAATGAAAACTGTTGTAGTTTACTTGTTTATATGTTGATAAAATTTGGCTAATTTATTTATTTCATCCTAAACTATTAACATTTGGTCAAAAAACACTTTTTACCTTCCCCGTAGCAGCAAACCTAAGAACTCGTAAAATCTAATGTTATTTAAATTGGGAATAAATATGTCACATTTATGGAAATATTTTAGTAAAAATGTAATAAGACAAGCTGTAATTTGCTTAGTCTGCAGGTTTGCTGCGGCGGGGGTAATTTGTATGGTCATTACAATTTACAATCAAATGTTCAATCAAGTAAACTTAGTAGTATGCCTACATCAAAAATATTTTGTGTCATTCTTTGTTTTCATCAGTCATACTTAAAAACTTACATTACAGAACAAATCTAATATTATGGTAAATGTACTATAAAAATAAATTAGGCTAACTTTCTTGTGAATTTGTTATGACAAAGTATAAATAAGACAAACAAAAATAATTTATATAGGCCTACTCATAAAAAAAATTATAAGGTAGGTCAATTATTTTGATTGGTCACAGCATCATTCACGCAAAAACGTCAAGAATTTTAGTTAGTCAAAAGTTTGGTTAGGCTATATAGCATCAAAAATTCAGCAAGAATTATTCAAAATTTCTTTGCCGAGCTCTTAATTAGAAAACTAACTCTTTGTGGGTTATTTTGAGGTATTTTCTACACTGAAACGTTGTCGGTCCGGCCCGCCTTTCCTCCAAAAATTGTCAATGTGGCCCTAGAGTAAAAAAGGTTGGGGACCCTGGTCTAGTTCATGTCCGGCGGGCGACACTGGTGGCTAGTGTCAACCAAATTTTATTTGTATTATTTTAGAGTCAATTTCATTGTTTGTTTTTTACTGTTATGTAGCCTAGACACCCTAAAATCAATATATTTTGCGCATATACATTCCCATCTGTCTTATGGTCTGGCAATCTATGGAGGAACGTCCAAACAAAATTTAGATACAGTTCTGAAACTCCAAAAAAAAGCGATAAGAATCATGCTATACTTGGACAAACGAATAACTGTGAAAGATACATTTTCAAAACTACATATTTTGACTGTCTATGATCAGTATATACTAGAATGTGTTATGTGTGTCAAAAATCAAATACAAAATTTGGAAATTAGAAAAAATGTCCATTCATATGACACTAGAAATAAGAATGATATAAATTTATCAAAACATAACCTCAGCTTCTTTGAAAAGAAGGGAACCTTTATGGGATCAAAATTTGTAAACCATTTTCCTACAAAAATTAAAAAGTATAATAAACCAAAATAATTTCAAAAAACTAGTTAAGAATCATCTGTTGCAAACGAGTTATTATTCATTTGAAGAGTTTATTCAATGTAAAAACTGCTAAATAAATAAGGTTAAGGTGCTCAGATAGATAAAAATAAAAAATAAAACTGTATGCGGTTTCTACTTTTCTGTAAATCGAAATCAAAATGCATAAAAATTAGTTATAGTCTGACACTATTCATGTATGTATATACAATATGAATAAAGAATTTTTGATTTGATTTGATTAGATTTGTTTGGTTATATAACTAGAGGCTGAGTCATTGTTTATGATTAGATTGTTTTAATTAGTAAAAAAGAGGTTTTAAATGACTGAAATAACAAGAATCAAATTGTAAACAAAACACAACCCCTACAGTGCACCAGACAGAACCAACAATAATATTGGCTTCAGCTGTTCCATAAGCATGAGAAATCTACTAAGGACGTATTGTCTATCCATACAGGTTATTGCCGATAGATTGCCTATCGATGCAAGTTATTACTGTGACATTTCCTACCTAGGCCTATTCATATTATTAGACATTGCATATACATACAGTTGGCTCAAAACATAGAGAGATACCTCCTCAGGTTTAACGGGCCGTCCTAATCCTCTGTTTACATACCCATAGCCTTCATTCAGTGGTGTCCACCCCTGAATGCCGGCATTCCAAGAAAATCTGAGTCACACTATAATTTGCAATTAATTGATACATTAGACCTACATAAACGAATAACGGCTCATTTTTACTTACTTAGACAAATAAAAAGCAAGTTTAAACACAGTTCTACGATGTACCGTTGCCGAAAAACGCAGTTGTCGCCTTCTTGGAATGCCGGAAGTCAGGGGTGGACGCCTCGAATGAAGGCTATGGGTATGTAAACAGAGGATTAGGACAGATTAGGACGGCCTGTTCTACCTGAGGAGGTGTCTCTCTACGTTTTGAGCCAACTGTACAAGTTATTACTGAGACATTGCCTATCCATATAACTCATATAAATTATTATTCGGGGTTACTTTAAAAATGTATTTATTCATTACCTCACTGAAATGAGTTACTACTGTACTTAAGAAATACCTCCTCTTATTCCTTTCTTAATGAGGATCCATTTTCAATTATTTTCATTTGTTCACACAAAAACATATCTTCCCTTCAGTAATAAAATCAATAATACAAAATATGGTACCATGCTTAACAATTTGATGCTGTAACACATATAAATTATATAGGCCTAATAGGCAGGCGACTCCTTAACATTTTTAGCAATACAGACTCTTCTAATAAATTAATAAAAACGAATAGTTTTCACTTTAAGGTTACCGATATTATATGTCATATATTTGTACATTTAAGTCAAATACCTCATTTATAAAAATTTACAGAACACAAGTCTGGTCAATTTTAATTGTTGTTGACAAAAGTATGAATAGAAATTCCATGTTACTTCGAATCAGAATGCATCACTGAGACTAAAAATTCCCTCACTACATTTGGCTCACTTATTTGATGGAGTAGTAAACATAAACAACAAAGTAACTACAAGCTACAATCAGCAGACGCAACCCCCACCTCCAAGGTCAATGTCACCAATAAATAATGGACAACAACAAGTTGCATTGTGTTCGTCATGCAGCCTGTGTCTGTCTCATGTTTTAAGTTTGGCTGGCCTAGCGAATATTCAAATGTTTTCAGTGTGTTTTTTACTTTTTTTTTATTAACTTTATGTGTCGATGTGTGTTCATTGATGAAGATGCCTATCAAATTTTATGGACTATTGATTGGAGGTTGGATTTACCAGTAGGACCTGAAACTAGTAATTCTCTGACCACCATAATACTGAAGACGAACAAAGGTAAGTAACCTATCATATAGGCCTATAATAAACTTCATTTCAAATATACTACTACTACTGAAATATTCATTAATGTTGAATTTAAAACTTGGAACAATATAAAGAATACTAACTATGGTCTGAAGATCGAGGTTCTTTCTTCTTTTTAGACTTGTCCTTATCAGAAGACTGCACACGGTCTCTGTCACTGTCCAACTTTCCGCCGGGTTTGAACTTTGTTTCCAGAGTGGGGTCCTCTTCTTTGCAACGCTGAGTAAAAAAAAATCATTCATATATAGACATTTAACATAATATCAAAATATTCTGTATTTAAAAACAAACAAGGAGTTTGTACTTTTCTGAATGGAGAAATATAGTTGGAACTATCCACATTACTGAGTTTGTTGTAATAGGATGTGTGGTGGATTTCAAGAAGGTGTAAGATTGCTAAAAACAGGTCTCCTGTAGTCGTAGCAACACCCGTGAGCATATCTTGTGGTCTAAACGACACCGGTGATCGTCTCCTGCAATCGTAGCAAAACGTGTGAGCATATCTTACGGTCTTAGCAACTCACTGGATCGTCTTCCGAGATTGATGCAACACCCATCAACAGCGGTCACTTGTTGAACTTGGGCCGCGTCAAATTAGATTCTTTTTCTTCCTTACTTCCTTTTAATTAACTGACAATTTGGATGACTGGTCTTCGTATAATCAACGCTCTACAGTACCACACAACTACTATTAATTAACTATTAACTTTTTATGTAAAATAAAATAGGTAGGCTTATACTGATTGGTATCACACTTTTTGTGTTTTGTTCTGTACTGCACGACTTTCTATGAACAGTTAGATAAAATCGATTTAAGTTTATATAGCATATACCACATTTAATTGAAGAAAAACTATGATCTATATAAAGTTAGTGAGACATTGGGAGAACACCAGTAAGCTGGGTTCTGTTTGAACTAAAAAAAAAACTCTTACCTTGAAGGGTCATAAAAATTAGCCTATTACCAGTTGAGAGATGGAGGCGCCACCTGTATTTTAACCTGAATATGAGGTAAGGATATAAGGATATAAGTGTAGAATATAAAAAGAGATGCCTTGTATAGCTTTGTTACTGTAAGAACAGCCGTTTCATTAGCCGGGATCCAATTTCAAACCTTAAAGAAATGCCAAGATTTTTCAGGATCAAACCATGACCAAAAAAATATGCAAGCACTACTGGGGCTATTGTCCTTTCACCTATTGGGTCTGATGATTGGAGTGTCCAATTGAAATCGATCACCACTTACCATCTTTTATGTATATTTACCAACTTGTGAGTAAGCGTAGATATATGTTTTAAGTATTATAAGACGTTTCTTTTATCTACTTTCTGTACTTGTTCAAGTAATTTAAATTTGATTTAACTGAAGAAAAATTAAATTAAATAATATATATATATATATATAAAATATTATTTATTATAAATATTATTTATATATTATTTATAATAATATTATATACAATTAAATTAATTTGTGTATTGTTGGGAGTGCGTATGAGCCGTCAATGTGTTTGTAGGATCTTACACAATTGCAGCAGCATGCGTTATAATTTCCCATGATTTCAGCAAAATTCCAGCATCCCCCCCCATACACAATTTATGTGAAATTCTGATATTTAAAAAAAAATTTTTGTTTTGTCCCAAACGCTGAGCCTCCCGAAGTGCGGGACCCTGTCCTGCTGTACCTGTCGCATGTGCCAAAGGCTGGCTTTGGCTATTTCGCAAAGATTGTAGAAACCACATAATTACAATTATTTTCTAAACCCATTTAGTATTTAGTTTTACATTAGGGCCTACTCCTGCAACAATGTGAATCCACTAATATGATGAGGAACCATAATAGGTGTTAAAATACTTGGATACATATCCTAAGATTGGACCTGTTTAACTTAATTACTTACCGGACAATAATACTGCTTGATGAATTTAGCCTCCTTCTGAGTGATGCCAATACAGTCCCCATGATACCATTCTTCACAGCTATCACAGCCTCTGGATATGAACAAATATGTTGTCGTATTGAATAAATATCAAAGGTCATTAGACTTAATAATAGGTAAAAAAATCATTCCGAATTTTTTTTAAATATAACAAATCAAACCACAAATCTCAATATGGCCACCGTTTAAGGCTCTGCCGGCGTTAGTTGAATCCATCCCCGAGAAATGCAGTAAAGGTGTGTGCTGTTTTAAATTTTTATTTTACACAGACAGAGCCTTAAACGGTGGCCATATTGAGATTTATTGAATATCAACAAAAACTTTTGAGTTTTTCTATCTGTACATATGTAAATGTTATCATTTAGCTAACATTTTGTAAATAAAAATGTATGATACAATGTGTCAGTTCTTTTTGGACCACCCTTTATATAATCACACTAAGGCCCACATACTAATAAATAATAATCAATGTAAAAGGCTTTAAAAATCAGCTATGCACAATCGAGAAGCAGCAGAATACTAAAGTAAATAGGCCTACGCATCAAAACCTCAACAATCTTTACAGCGCAAAAATTTATTTTTCACTAGTAGTTGCCAATGTTGCCATAACAAGCGACCTCTAGCAACGGGTTAAACAATTCAATTATTTAAAGTCCCACACAACTACAAAAACTACCTACTCTATCCTATCAATGACATTTTTGTCAAAAACTATTAGTTTTAAAAAAGGTGTTCAGTGGATCTGCCAAGGCGTCGCAACGGAACCAAAAGCATTATTTTAATAACAAGAAGTTCACCGCAACAAGTTAGCCTGGCAACAGTTGTTGATCAACAACCTATTACTACTTATCCTGTTGTACCATATACAGTAGAACCTCGCTAATTCGAACCTCTATAATTAGTAATCTTCGTCTGTTCCCCTCAGAAAACCTCTAAAATTCTAAAAATAATATACTGATAGTTAAAAGTGATTTTTATGCTTAATGCAGCCTCTACAATTCGAATTTCCACATTCTTGAGCCTCTACATTTGAATTTTGTTGCCGAAATTCGAACTGTTACCTCTAAAATTCGAAGTCAACCTCTACACAAAAGCAACAAATGACAAATGGTTCAAAATGGTGAAAGCAACAAATGGTTAAGTGTGTGTCTAGTTGTCGAACTGCGTTACCGTAAGCCTCTGTAGCCTAATTCCAATTCAGGATAACAAATACGCCTGTTGAAACATGAACTGGCGCTCTTATTGATGATCCCACGATGTGTTCATTAGTTCTCCGTTCTCTCAAACTCTCTACACTTGAAACTGGGACCTCTATAATTTGAATTTTAATTATTCTGACCTCTTTAATTCAAACTTCCTATAGTTTGAAATATATTGTATTTCCTCTGAAATTCTAATTAGCGAGGTTCTACTGTATAACTTAAATCTCTACTACTCACATCATAAAGCGAGAGCTGTCTGAGGAGCGACACAAGCAATAGGCCTGTCCATCTTGCTTTAACAATGTCGCGATTTTAGACTTCCTTTCTGGCAGTTGAAACTGTTTGGCAATTTCTTCTTTCTGAAATTACAAGTTTCAATCACAAATTTAATTTTTTTCGTAATGAAATTAGGTGCATTTAGAGATACATCTCTCTTCTAAACTTATCAAACTTTGGAAGCTGTTTGGCATTGGGAAACACATGAAATCTTTAAAATAGAATAAATTCTTTAAATTATAAGAATTGTGACTCACACGGGTCACTGTGAAACACTACATCATAAGTCTTGTACACATGTATTCAGAAGTACAAATGGCCATGCTCTGTGATGGCCTGCATAACAAGATTTGGGTAGTTTAGCTAAAGTCTTAGAATTAGGCCTTTTAAAAAACCTGGGTAAGAATTTTCAAGTTATATAATATTGATTGTTTGTATTAAATATGAACGTTATAAGCAATTGGGTCTTTTAAGAAGATCCTTTTACACAGTGTTGAGGCGGTTAAGTTTGCTTTATTTTTGTTCAGTTTGGCTTAACTTAGGCCTAGTTAAACTTAATTTAGTGTAAGTTATGATGATGACAAAAAATATAACATTTAACTTAGACTATGAAAACTGAAGTTGATAGCTTACTGTATGTTATGTAAATTGTTAAGATAGGTATAAAATTAAAAAGACGTCAATTTGTATTTAAGTCCTCTTTGAGTTTATAAAAAGGTCAAACTTTGTAAATGACAGGTCAATCTAAGTTAGCCTAGGCCCTACTTTGTTTGTTATGAGGCCTAACTTATAATAAACTAAAATAAACTGATCTTAACTTAACTAACCTAACCTACATGAAATGAAACTGTCATCCTATACGTATCGTAGGTTCTCTGTGGAACTAAGTTAGGTACTTCCACAAGATTTCAAACATGCTTTGCTCATTATTTATAAAAAAACCACTGGGGTACAGTTTCTTAACACGTTGAGTGCTGAAAACCCATAAACAGGCGTTCGACAATGGGGGCAAAGCCCAGGCGCCAGCGAATCAGCAAACGCAATCAAATATTTCAGTCTGACGAGTCGCAAAAGAGCGGCAGTGATGGTGCTGCGTTACCCCGAGAGTGGACGAAGATCACTGAAACACCTACAGGTAGCAGCACTGCCTGGATTCGTAGCAAGTCTCTTTGTGATTGTCACTCGGAGGGAGAAAATGATTAAAACCGGGACAAAAGCAATGCCAGATGGGATTTTACAGAAAATTTTAGTACCAACCTACACCAAAATAAATTTGCATTCCAAGCTAAAGGCTGGCAACGATTAAATATAAAGTTCCCTGGCAATGGCTGTGCTCATACCGAACTAATATCTTTAATACCTGCTGCGACGTCGTTGAGCAGAATTTCTGGATAGACTGTGTAAAAGATAAACTAAAATAATATTTAAACTACCTATTTACAATACTTTAGGCAAGATGGCGTTGAGCATACACTCAATGGAACATCAAAATATTCGTCAACTGAGTAGGCTACAGTGGTCGGTCGACTAGCCAGGCTTTATTTTTCTTTTTAAAAGCGGACGGTTCACAAGTCTTACATTTTTGGGGGAGATCATTGTACATTTTCAGAGCCCTAATGCGGAAAAAGCTTTGCGTTTTGGACAGCCAGCAGTAAGGTATGTGGAGCTGGTCTCTGTTATGAAGGTTGTGGGAGTGGTGGAATTCCCTTGTTGTGAGCTGGTATAAGTTATCCCTCACATAACAGAGGCTAAACAGTACATACTGGCTGAAGATAGTAAGGATTTTTAGGCTTCTAAAGATAGGCCTACAGTGCTCACTGTCACTCTTCGATGTAATGATCCCAAACGCCTTCTTTTTTTTTTGAAGGAGAAGAATATCTTCACACCTTGCAGCGTGTCCCCAAAGCAGGAGTCCATAGGAGAGGTGGGAATGAAACAAGCCATGATAGACAGTGGTCAGGTAATGCCTCGTCAACAGAGCTTTAAGTCTGCGGAGTACATGGACGACTCAAGAGAGCTTCGTACAGACACTGTCCCCTCCAGCTAATCTTTGCATCTATGACGAACCCCTGCAGCTTCACCTCTGTCAAGATGTCAACGTTTGTACGACTGAGACTGCACACAATCTCTTGGGTTTTTTCTCGGTTGAGGCTCAATCGTTTAGTTGGAACCAAGTCTTTGCCAACTCAAAAACTTCTGCAGCCTTTTCGCTGGCCAAAACTGGAGAAGATCCTCTGGCATCAATTGTTGTATCATCAGCAAACATTAGGACGCTTACAATGGCACTAAGGTCATTTATCATGACTAAAAAGCGGATGGGCCCCAATACTGAACCCTGCAGGACACCATGCTCAACTAATCCAGGTGAGGAGTTAGCTCCAGATATCGACAGCACTTGTCTTCGGTCACTGAGATACGACTTGAAAGCATCAAAGCCACCGATCCCAGCGTTTTCTAATTTTTTTAGTAGGTAGCATCTTATGGTTGACGGTGTTTATGGTTGGTGCTTTGCTGAGATCCGCAAGGACCAAAGCAGCAGAGCCCCTATCCTAAAATGTATCTAGGACCTCTCCTATTAGCTCGGAGATAGCTGAGATAGTCGAGCGACCACGTCTGAACACATGCTGGGAACCCGCAAGCAGGGAGTTACGCTCCAAGTAGTCCACTGGTTGCCTCATCATAACGGTCTCGAACACCTTTGTATTAACAGGAATTACTGAGATGGGCCGATAACTGCTGAGGGATGCTGGATTACCCTTTTTAAAGACTGGGACACCTTCAGTGAATTGGAAAAGCTCCGCTCAGTAAACATCCATTAATAGCTTTCGCCAGAGGTATGGCTATTACTTCTGATACATATTTCAAAATGGTGACAGTCATTCCACGCACATCTGGGCTGTGGGAGTTTATAAAAATTGTTAATAATTTTCTCACACTGCGCCATCTGACAAACGTACTGACAGTTGGCCTAGACAAGTTAGGAGAGAGCAGAGGCACAGAGTCATCGGTCGAAGTCCAAAGTTTTTACAATAGAAATGATGAAAAATTGGCTACAGCTGGTAGCTGGTCCATATAGATGGGATGTCTACTTCAGTATCCAATAATCAATGCCCACACTCAACGTGTTAACTAGAAATGATCGATACTTTTACCAGTTAAGACTATAAGTTAGCTTATATAGGCCTAGCCTATATCAATTAAAGGTAGCCTAAAATGAAACTGTTCTAAACTAGGCCTAGCCTAACATGACCTAATAAAACTTGCTGTAGTCAATTGCTTTAAGTTATAAATCAATATAATCGTAATTTTCATTACTTGTAGGGTAGCCCAGTTAAGAAACTGCACCCCTAAGTTACGGTTCCTTACAATAGGGTTTAAAGTTCAGATTTTGAGGTTAGTATAGCATAGCCTATGTTCGGCTGGCAGATAACATATCAGGGTACTTACTGATAGACCTGTAGGCCTTGATCTGTAGTCTTTCTCAGTCATTTTAATATTTTTTTTATGATTTGAATATGTAAGGCCCTTATTTTCACGTGTTATTCAGTTACCAACCGACTTTTTTTAAGTTTCGACTAGGCCTATTCAAGTAACTTAACTTATCTTGTACATCCGTTTAGAGATTTACAAGTCAATAAATTGGCCATTGAATAACTCTGAGAATTAATTTTAACCCTAACATCTAAGATTAGTTTTAAACCACTGTTGAATAGAGTAGAAAACAGTCACCGAGCAGTAGTGCTAGTTCAGTTAGTGTTGTTGTTAACTTTAAGTCGCTGTTAGTTTAGTTTAGTGTAGAACGGACAACAGACAGACGACAGACAGACGACAGACAGCGACACTACTGCTTACTGCTACTGCTGGTTGCTGAATGCTGGCTCTGGGCTCTGGCTGGCTTGGCTCTTGGCTAGGCTAGTGGCTTGGTGGGGCACACGGGAGGGACGATGGCTAACATATCTTGTAGTGTCAGCGTTCGCCGCTAGAACCGCTAAGTTGAAAAATTAAAATTAATTTTATAATTTTTAGTTATAAAATGAACTTTTTAATTATAAAATTAAACTGTCATAACCTAACCTAACCAACCAAACTTGCTGATAATATAAAAAATAGATAAGATAAAAATGAAATGAATGTTTACTTAAAATATTCAATTATAAAATCAATTTTAAAATTTAGTATTATAAAATTAAACTGTCATAACTTAACCTAACCAACCAAACTTGCCGATAATATAAAAAAGATATAAAATAAAAATCAAATACAGTAAAGCAAAATCTTTGACAAAAAGTTAGTGTCCCCGACGGGTTTCGAACCCGGGGCCTCCTGCACACTAATCCGATACGTGGGGTCCCAGTTTATCGATATCCCAACATCCCACTTTACAGACATCCCATATTACCGACACTGTCGACATTTTGAGTTATTGACAATATGGGACTATTTCAGTGTCGATCTTTTGGGATGTCGATAAACTGGGACCACACGATCTATGATACAGCCCACAGCGTAGTTAAAACAATGGTTAAAACCACTTAAAACTCCTGTCCTGATTCCGTATTCCTTGGTTGATTTTTTTTATAGTTGGGTTCTCTGGATCTCTGGAGGGTTGAGTTGACTAAGACGGGATGTCACTGCATTTTTATAGTTGGGTATTCACAATCGCTTAATCTATTAAATTGTGGATAATATTACATTTTAATTGCAAGGAAAGAGCTTACATCACGTGTATACTTCTTCTATATACAACATGGCTCACATAATTCAATGAAAATTGCTTTCGAACAAGTTTAGTTAGCTTGGACAGTGGAAGATCCCTCTGGTGTAGATCCAATTTGGTTTACATACAGGATGTGTATTTGTTAGTGATCAAATCTCGATTGAAGATAAAAATAAGCCCTGAGTGATATGCTTGACTTGTATTTACTGCTATTCATGTAAGTTTTAGTCTTTCATCTAAATGTATTGACATCGAAAATAGCTGTCAGAGTTGGTTGATAGGACAAGCTCTTATTTTTAAGGTTATGTTCAATAATCAATTTCCTACAGTATTAAGTTAGAACCTCATAGAAAGATTCTTTTTTTTTTCCATGTTCAATACATATTCAACATAGGCCTATTTATTAATTTACATCATTCAATTATTTATCAATAACGATTCAATTTTGACCTTTCAGGGCATCCTAGGTAAGCTTGCTCACGTCCAATTTAATCCTATAACACATCCAAACCTTATCATAGGGTCAATGAAGGACTTCTTTTCTAGGTAGCACTTTAATCTCCAAAGCTCTTTCTACCCTTAAAGTCAACCTACTGTATTACCAGCTTATTAAATGTCCAAATATATTAGTAGAATCAATTGAGTCCCAGCTTTTTGCCTTTGAAGGTTCTTTTTTCAATCCATCCAAATTCAAACAAAATAATTTCTCTGTTTTGGAAGGGACATGGAAAGCTAATAATTTTAATGAAGTACAGTAGGGCTGGTCTAATTAAGTTTAAATCTAAGATCTCTCTACACTATTAGTTACTTCATATAATGAAGTAAAACGCTTCATTTTGAAGGTCATATCATGAAAATGCTAGGTGCAAAATTGGTCAGCTGTTTTTGCTTAACTTATTTCCCATGAATAGGTAGGCCTATTAATTTTTTAATGTGAGTAGGTTAACTTTTTTACCTACGACCGTTTTTTAAGTACCGTAGCCGTTTCAGTACAGTTCTTAGAATTGAAAAGTATCTCATAACAGCATTGTTTACTTTCATAACAGCATAGTTTTACTCATAACAACACGGGTAACGAACCAATGAGGTTCAAGGATTGAGAGAGGAGAAGCAAAATTGTAATGATTCGAAATTCAACTAATCAGCTGTTCAGGCCAATTTAATTGTTGATTGGTGGAATTAGTGTTTGATACAATGTTTCGTTGCATCACTGTCAGTGGCAATGAGAGGTTATAAACAAAAACATAACCTCTCTTAGAAGTTATTCGAGTAGTGGTAATTAAAACACCGTCGCAGGTAAAGTAGTGTAGTACGCAACTCGCGTAAATAGTGTTAACGACACTCGTAAAAGTTTTTAAGGCTCGTACCTTAAATTTTATACTCGTGTCGTTAACACTATCTTTACGCAATCATTGCGTGAACTACTATAAAACTACAAATTGGCAAAACGGGATCATACAGCATCATTTTTTCAATTTGCTTTGTCAATTTTGAATTGGTTGTGTTCAGCTAGATAAATGAACTCATAAAGGTACTTCAAACAGTTCCTGTAGGCCTACCAGGTCTGTCAAAATGATCCATTGTAAGTTTAGTAGCCTATAGCCTACTATAAAAACGGCCTAGAGGCTAAAATGGATTGTTTGGACAGACAATAGGTAACTTAAACCTTTATTAGTTAATAAATTTGATCCAGAGGCCATCCATGAATTTAGATAAGATTGTTTCGATAAGTAATATTTGACGACAACACGTACAACATAAAAACAAAAACTGTAGTTGAGGACCTGCAATTTCATAGTGGGCAAGCAGCAGAAAGGTTTGTCCCATTCAAGATTATCTTAATGGATCTCAGCTGTTTTGTAGTAAGGTCTTTACACCATCAAGTCTTTTACAGCAATTTGTTTTGTACGTCTGGACGTCCAGATATTGAATGGCCTACTGAATGGGAGTTTACTGAAGGATTTTATAGCGGACCTAGGAGCTCTGCTTTTAATTTCAACGAGGCAAGCATAAATGTGGTGGCTGCAGACTCTTGGGATTCCTAGTCTCTGGATAATTGGTTTGTAGGGTTTTTTTTTTTTTTTTTTTTTGTACCGGTGTGGACTTTTTTTATATACTCTAGCCTATTGGAGTACCACTTTTTCCTTGACCCCACAGGTGCAGTCTACTCGCAATGAGTGAATGGAACAGAGCATGCTCAGTGATGCTATGTACACACCACCAGCTGGTTTGCTGGTCAGTGACACTGCTCATCACTGCTCATCACTGCTTATCACTGCTCAGTGACACATTTCTGGGGCGCCTCAGGAGACATGGACAGTATGGTCGTTCCAGTCTAGTCCGTTGTCATGCTGGAAACCAAGGAATTTTTCGGTTGTCATGTTGTCCAAGGGTCTATTGAGCGAGTTCAAAGGAGTCCCTGGGTTTTGTCTCCATTTAGTTGAACTTTTTTCATCTGAAACTATGCTTTGGCTTTTTGGACCTGGATTTTTGCTACTTGGAGTGTTGCTGGCTACCCATATTGTTTTTGTTGTTGTATGCCCCTTGTTTTTTGACAATAGTAAGCTTACTGTAATGACAAATATATATTTTTAGACTTAAGGCTTATTATTTAATATGAAACCTACTTATGCTTCTTGCAGACGTTTTAATTTTTTATGTAAACCGTTTGCAGTAATTCTGACCCTGCAGCACTACTTTATCAAACAACCCTGTTATTTAAAAAATCTAGTAAAGAATATTAATTTTTGAAACTATTTTTCAGGATGGAAACATAGTAAGTTTGTCCTGCAGTGATCATTATTGCTACAGAGATCATCAACATGACTTCGTTGTTCGATCCTTATGACAAATCTAGGTATGTTTAGTTTACAGTTATAAACATTTTCATTCAAGTTAGTTTATTATATTATGTAAGTAACTGTTTTATATTACATTCTCACTTATTGTTATAATTATTATTCATTGTCACCGGCCACCAGAGCTGTTTGATATAATACTTCCCAGAATTTCCATTCACAGTCCTTTAGCCTATAGGCCTAGTGAATGACCCGGGTTTCGGCGTCCTTAGAAAACGAACAAACACATAAAAAACCTAAAACACAACATAACGAGAACTATGCCTAGAATTTATGACTGTTTGCAGTAATAAATTCTAGAACTTGTTATAATTATGCCGTGTTTTAGGAAGAGAACTTATAAATCGTAAGACTCAGAGACCTTGCACGTCAACCGAAGCTTAGGGTGCATATAAACTGTGGGGAATTATCTTCTTGATCGGCATACATGTATGCCCCACGTGTTATGAATCTACTAAAAGTAGTCCTGTACAAAAATATGTCTAATAACACTTGAAACTAGAGATGTAAAATATCCGGGTATTTAAAATTTGTGGTACATACCCTGGGTATTTACCCGGGTAAATATCCAGAATTCATAAATACCCGGGTATTTTTTGTATTTATAAAATTGAGCAAGACTAATTGATGTTTAAATCTTAATATGTTAGTATCATTCTATGATAATAGTATAGTCTATAACAAGTAATTTGCCGTTTTTTCAATTACTTAGTAGTTGTTTTTTTTATATTAAAAACCCAAAGTTCATAAATAACCAGCATCTATTTTTGGTCTGAAACCGAAGTTCAGAGAAGAAACTCTAGGTAGCCTAAATGTGTACTACATAACTGTCATGTATATATTTATATTTAATTATACTAAATAACTATACTAAATTACTATAAAAATAAGGTCATAGAACAAATGAAAATAAACCTTAAGTCTAATGTTTTAATTAATGCTAACTAACTAATGCTTTAATGCTCAAAGATTCAAATGGCATATTCAAGAAATCTTTGAACGACTGCCATTTTTGACTCGGTTGTCCATTTGAGTTCAAGTTTGCGGCATTGTATTCTACTAGGTAAGGCTTTTAATTTTATGTGCATATCGAGCTATGCTTACGTTTAAGATTTTCTTCTGACTCCTAACAAGTCGCGTCCCCCTGAGGAGGTAGTGTATCACTGAATAATGTGTTAAAATGCTTTTAATGCCCAGTAACTGTGTACCAAATTTTTTACTCTATATTTATTACTTTTCTGAAATATTTAACCGTCCCGAGACTTTTTCCACTCTGTAAAAAAATATTTAATAAAATTAAACTAAAAATAAAATTAAATCAAAAGATTAAATAAAAGATTAAATAGACATATTTATCATTTACCTATTGGGTCTGATTATAATTGGAGTGTCCAATCGAAATTGATCACCACATCCAATCTTTTATATATGCATTTACAGTCTTGTAGGCTACCGGTAAGTGTAAATATATGTTTCTTGTGTTACTAGATTTTTTTATGTAAGTTTATGTAAGGTAGCCTACTTTCAGTATAAATAGGGACTGGCTATGTAGTGAAAATGTTTACAGTCTTTTTCAATCTCATTAACACTTAAAAAGCACATTTTCTACATCTAAAAAACTTGTCTACACACACATCCCTCAAGTGAAAATAGATTTCAGTGGGGTGTGATCCCCTTCTTGCGGAAACCTAACCACAGCACTTGGCCACGAGGAAAGCCTTAATTTTATAAACAGCCCATCAAAGGTATTTGTTGAATAAAATTTACCCTTTGTAGTTTAGACGTTTATAGGTGATGTTTGATTTTTTTTCAGTTGGTATTTTGGCCAAATGTCAAGGCAAGATGCCACTGACTTGCTCATGGGAGAGAAGGAAGGAGGGGTATTTCTAGTACGAGATAGCAACTCTATACATGGAGACTACGTTCTGTGTGTCAGGTGAGCTGGCTTACCAATTTAAAATATATTATTTAGACCTAATAAATTGCTCTTGGTACTTTTTTAAGGCCAACTCAACATTTTTAAGAATGGGAAATAATACAAAAATATCTGTTAGAAAATCCAAAAGGATTATTCATATAAACATAGAATAAAGTTCAATTGTGTACTTATATAAACTTACCAGTAACCAATTTTTTAGGTTTTGTTGTTAAAGAGGTCAACCCAACTCTTGCATTGCTACTATCTAATGTCTGCTTGTTGCTAAAAGCATAATCCTGTACTCTTGTATACATTAGGTTTGTATGTATGCTATGCTTTTCTTGCATACTTTAAATCCTTTTTGTTAACAAGCCTCAACAAAAAAACACATTATTATCAACTGTTTGTCACCATGGGCCTGCTTGATTTGCATGCTAATCATACATAATCGTTACCGTATAAGTAACATATCCAAATCATTGGTGACTGCAGGGGATCGGTCTTGAACCAGCAGTCTGGCTTCCAAAAAAATCTGGCTTATCAGCCCAAGACCATGTCTACCAACTGGGAAGACTGGGTGGGCATGGGCAAATAGTTTAGGAAGCTCGCGAGGTCGATATATTCATACCTCAAACACAATAAGACATTGATAACATTTCCGTAATCGGGGTAGACGATAGTGATATAATCGCAGGAGATGTCCAGGATTTTTCTCGGTCCCAACAACCTCGGTTAATCGGGAGTGTACTGTACTTAGATTTGCTGCCACAGGGAAGATAACAAAGTGCTTTGTATGAAATAAAATGTTGCCAAATTTTATCAAAATAGATTCATTAAACTACGACGGTTTATTTGATTTTTATGAGAATTTTAAGTTACAGTTTTGTGGAATTTTTTCCCTAACCATTAGACGTACAGGTTAATGTTTTACTTAATTATTTTCTTTTAAGCTTTACAAAATGTTTTGGAAAGGAATAGTAAAATTTTATGTTTGGAGGTAAAAAATGAGAAAAAAATATCTTTAACCTATAAAATCAAGTTTTAATAGTTTGATCATGCTGGTTCATAAAGTTCTTTAAATAAACATATGCAAGTTATTATGATAATGATTTGATAAAATGATTGTTGTTTTTAGATTTCCAAGTTGTCATCTTTTTAGAGCTATGACAAGTTTTATGCATTTAATTTCATATTTTGAGAAGGTATTGGAAAGCAAAAAATGAGACCAGTGCCTTTTTATTTCATATTCAGTTACAATGTCCAGGCTTTTTTTACGTAATGTGTTACTTTTAGGCTATAAAACCAGAACTAGGCTCCTAGTAAAATCAAATTTGAACAGTTAATAGTGTAATGACAATGTAGGCCTATTTACCATAGTATTTTTTTTTTTTTCAAATATTAGGCCTATTTGGTGTTGTGTTTGATTATAATGTTTTTAATTAGTCTATTGTTGAGTCAAAGCTGAAAATAATATTTATTGAATCTATGTTAAACTGAATTACATGAAAAATACCTTATTCTACCTTATTATACCTTAATTCTATTGAATCCCCTACTTTTAATCCAGCTATTTAATCCAAATTAAAATATTCACTTTTTCAAGATAACACTAGTTCTGTCGAGCATCCAACTACTAAAGAATTGGTAAATGGTAAATGAAAAAGCTGTGTATCTACAATTTTATGAATATTTGGAGAGTTTTAAAATGCTGGATGAAAATCGACATGGCTTCCGAAGGGGGAGATCTGTTGTCAGTGCAGCTGTATCTTTTGTTGAAACCGTGATCAACTCAGTTGACCACGGTAAGTGTACAACAGGTATATTCATGGACCTTTCAAAAGCTTTTGATAGTGTCAAACACTCTAAACTTCTAGAAAAGCTTACAATTCTGGGAGTATCAAGAAGATCTCTTGATTGGTTCACTTCATATTTAACAAATAGGTCTCAATATGTAGAAATATCTCATCTAACGGATAAAAATAAAGTAATGAAATCAAACTCAGCTTATAGACCAGTCAAATTTGGGGTGCCTCAAGGTTCTATTCTTGGGCCTTTGCTCTTTTTGTGTTACTTGAGGGGCATGGAAAATATGATAATTCATAAACAAAATTCAAAATTATGTCCCTACGCTGATGACTCAAATTTAATTTTATCAGCTGACTCATTGGAGGAGATACAAATTTTTTCTTCTAATGAACTTAATAACATTGGAGACTACTTACATTATCATAACCTTATTTTAAATTCTGAAAAAACTAAGTTCATAACGTTTAAAACACAACAAAACCGAAAATCTTCAGATCCAACACTAGAATATAAATCACAAAACATCAACAGGGAAAGTAGTATAAATTTTCTAGGTTTAACGATAGATGAGCACCTAAATTGGGATGAGCATGTTAAAAATATCCTGCTAAAGATTAATTCTGGAGTTTATGCTCTATCAAAAATGTCTTTTTATTGCAATATAAACACCTTAAAGAATATATATTTTGCTCACGTACATTCCCATATCCAATTCGGCATATGGTTCAACAAAACAAAGAAATATGGACTCTATTTTAAAACAGCAAAAAAGCTATCAGGATAATGCTCAAGCTAAAGGGGGATGATTCAGCCAAACAACACTTTACACATCTAAAAATTTTTACAGTTTATGGACAATATACAGGGTGATCAACTCAAGGAGGCCACCATTGGGATATCGGAAACGGTTAGAATTAGAGAAAACTTTAAATGGGGGACATTCCTTTATTTTTTGTAGCAGTTAAAAATATGATTTTAGATTTTTGAAATTCAGCCGCCATTTTCCAAAATGGCGGCCAACTTTGAAATTTCTTATGGAACACCCTGTATTTGATCATGTTTTCGGATAGAACAGGCAATTTAAAAACTTTTTTATTCTTGACATTTTTTCGATTAACCCACTCGTTTAGGAGTTACAGCCTATGGAAAAATGACTTCCGGTGTACATTTTACACCATGTAGCTCCAAAACAAGCAGGTTTATAGCGAAAATACGAAGATTAAATAAGTCAAATAAGTCTCAAAATTGCATCCACATTCCAAAAAGACCATAAAATACACAGTTTTCCACTTTCCAAGTTTGCCGCCATTTTTTAAACAACAGAATTCCTATTTTTAACGGATTTTATGGTATGTTTGGAATGTGGATGCAATTTTAAGACTTATTTGACTTATTTAATCTTCGCAATTTCGCTATAAACCTGCTTGTTTTGGAGCTACATGGTGTAAAATGTACACCGGAAGTCATTTTTCCATAGGCTGTAACTCCTAAACGAGTGGGTTTATCGAAAAAATCTCAAGAATAAAAAAGTTTTTAAATTGCCTGTTCTATCCGAAAACCTGATCAAATACAGGGTGTTCCATAAGAAATTTCAAAGTTGGCCGCCATTTTGGAAAATGGCGGCTGAATTTCAAAAATCTAAAATCATATTTTTAACTGCTACAAAAAATAAAGGAATGTCCCCCATTTAAAGTTTTCTCTAATTCTAACCGTTTCCGATATCCCAATGGTGGCCTCCTTGAGTTGATCACCCTGTATATATGAAGTTATTCTTATTGCTAGAAAACAAGAATTAAGTGAAAAACCGATGACAAGCCACAACTATAAGCTTAGGAAAAAAAGTGGGGTTGTTGAACCTCATAGGCTCAAGTTTTATGAAAAAAAACCGTCCAATGCAGGCCAAAGATTTTAAAAATTTATCCCCAAAAATATAAAAAAAGAAACAGATTTTAATAAGTTTAAAAAATTACTCAAAGATTATATATTAAATTTAGCTATTTATTCTATGGAAGAGTTCTCCACCTCCCTGGCATAGGTAGCAATAAGTTATTTTGATTTTGTATTTCATTCTTAACTAACTAAAGACTTGTTATTATTTTACTTGTTAATATTTACTAATATCATTGTAATTGTATTTCTTTTTATTGACGCTATTCATTGTACCACCTTTGTACAAAAAATATGAATAAAGAATATGAATATGAATATATTTACAATCAATACATATATTTGTTTGGTTTGATGTCTGTTGTAATTACCATTTAGTCAGCAAAGGGTTAATATTCTAAAAACATTAAAACATTGTTCATGATCTGTGTTTTTTAGGTTATGTTTTATAATGTTTTGATTGTCAACTATCTTCAGTTCAATTTATTACCTTGTTTAAAAATGTAAAAAAAATATTTTATTACCTTACAATATACTTGTTTGATGTTGGTAAACAAACTACACATTTCATGGCAACTGCCACATCATCAGGTTTATCCTCATCTCAGGTTTGTCATAAATTTAAAATAGAAAACACAGAACACACGTAAAAAGTTGTTTAAAAAGTTGATTTTTCCATTAAAAAAATTGAAAATACATTTTTATTGCTGTATAACAGCTATGAGAAGGAGCTATGCTGGCTTGTGATTTAAAATGGTCTTAGATTAACCTTTACCAGATAAAGTTCTTATGGGTTTGAAGTTTTTAGGATGCATAAGATGTCTGATCCTATATGGACAATCCCATCTATTTGGATTAGCTATAGCCTATTTACTATTAAACATTAAAATTGTAGCATGAGCCACTCACAGATTTTGCTGCTGTCTAAAAATACAATTTCCACCATTAGTTTTTGTTACTGAGATTGTTGATGTAAGATGAAAGAGGCTATATCTCAAACTAATCTTATCAGTTTGGCTTCGTTCAAAAGTTGTTGTATTCAACAAAATCACTAATTTATATTAGAGCTCTTTCGGTGGCTCAAATAAACTAGGTCCATTTGAATTCTAAAATTGGCAACAACTTTAATATGGAATAGAATGTGAAGTGCTATCTATAGTCAAGGTGGAACTCTCCAGCAAATAAAGAAGTGAGCTGGTACAGTAGAATAGTAAACTGTACTGATAACATTTAGTGGCGAGTGCAAGGACGCGAAGCAACGACATTGCTGATGTAGATTTGTTAACTTTCCCACTACCAACTGAGCCTCTGACTCGCCAGTTGCTTCATTTATAATCTCCTTTGACAAAGAAAAACAATTTTTAATGATGTAATGTTTATGTGTTACAGAGAAGATAGTAAGGTAAGCCATTACATTATCAACAAGATACAACAGAGCGACCACACGAAGTACCGCATCGGAGACCAAATGTTTCCAGACCTGCCAAATCTGTTAGCCTTCTACAAACTGCACTATCTGGACACCACACCACTCATCAGGCCAGCACCTCGTAAAATTGAGAAAGTTGTGGCCAAGTATGACTTTGACGGCAGTGTGAGTATACACTATTTTGTGTTGATCAGATAAGCGATTAAAATTCTTCAAATTCATGCACTACTTTATCACTGGCTTAGGAGGTACCTAGCAAATTGTCCAATCCAATGTGAACAGAAATATATTACGTACAATAGAACCACTGACATCCATCCGATGCAGGAATTCAAATAGGAAAACAAGAAAGGTAGGATGGTCAGAGGAGAAAAGGTTTTTAGGAGGAGAAAAAAATAGAATTATTATAATGTATTATGGTCAATAAAATACAGCCAGATAACAACATAACCGAACATAGACTTGTCATCTGTGAACGCTTTGAGAATTGAACTGGTCTCTCCAGCACCAAAGCCTGATATGTTAACCACTAGTCTGCTGTATAGTAATTTGAATATTTTTTAACAAAAATCCAACAATACAGTATACTCTTGGAAGCAATTAACATCATAATAGAAAATGTAAACATTGACTTGCTAGTGACTCATGGCTAGAGTTGGAAGGCATAAGTGTTATAAAGTATATGTGAGGTAGGCAGAAGTGCTGCTGGTTGTCGCACTAGATGGATTTGTCCAAGACGTTGGTTTTGCAGATGTTGGATTTGGAACATTCGTCTGTTCTTTGCATCATGAGATTGGTTGTTTCCCTTTTGTATCTGTTTTATTCATCCCACTCTTCTTAATCCATCTTTTTTTATGTCTTTGTGTTTTTTACACTGGTGGATTTTTTTTTTACTTGAGAAGGGTGCTTGAAGTGGCATTTTTATTTGATGAGTTACAGGAAAAGTGCTTTGACGTTTTCAGGTAAAGTTGTCCACACCTATGTGTGTTGTGAATGCGGTAATTGAACCTGTCCCTCCCGCTCCAAAGTCCGAGATGCTAACCACTAGGCCAGCAACACCCAATCTCTATTATCTGATACATCTTAGTTATTCTCTGGTTGCTAGGCTATACCAAGTATTATCCTATGAACAAATGAATATTTGTTTAAACCGGTGTCTAGTTTTCAGATAATTTACCTGCCTCCCAAAAAGCAGACAAGAAGAAGTGAAGAAAGTTTCTCACTTTTATTTCTAACTTAGGCTATCTATGAATAAAAATTATTTTGACATTTAATTTTTGAGCAATATCTAATAAGTTTATTCATGTAATGTAGGCGACCGAGATAAAAGCTCTAATAAACATTTCAATTAGGTTTAACTAAACATCATTGAATCACTAGTGAAATCACTTTTTCAGTTCAAGAGAATTATTTATGAGTAATCTTCTTGTAGGATCAAGACGATCTTCCTTTCCGGAAAGGAGATATTCTCACAGTTATATCAAAAGATGAAGATCAATGGTGGACAGCAAGAAATGTTCTTGGGCAGGTCGGCTCAATCCCTGTGCCATACGTTCAGAAGGTAAGGAAATCATATCTAGCCTATCCTGATATTCGAAACAAGTTTAGACTGCACAGAGGCTTATCAAAAATGCTTTGGTAAACATCGTATATCTGAAATAGTTGAAATATATTTTGTTCAGAAATTAACAGGGTGTCTAGTAGTCGGGAAAAACGGGAAAGTCGGGAAATAGTATTGAATTTTAAAATGGTCTTAAAAAGTCGGGAATTTTCATGATTTTGCCCCGATCTCTCTAGACGACAATCACGTGTTCCTTAACACGCAAGATGACGATCATGACGTTTCTGTGACCGCGGGAGACAATGATGATGTCTACACGGCCACGGGAGATACTCGAGATTTTGCCGCGATCGTGGACGATGAAGTTTCGAGACCGTGGGAGACGACAATGATGTCTACATGGCCGCAAGAAATGTTCATGATTTAGCCGTGATCGCGGACGACAACAGAGACGTTTCCGTGACCGCAGCATTCATTGGTGATATCTACACCAGGACTAGAGATATACCTTAAAATGTTAACTATATCATCTTTACATTCCTTCATTACACACCCCAATCATTATCAGACGCAATAGGTGAATGACAGTGAGTTGCTGATCAAGAAATTATTTAGTGTTTACTTTGTATCCCAGCAATTAAAATGGCAAAAGTTTTTAATTGCCCAAATAGATTCAAGTACTTAATAAATAAGTGCAAGTAAAATCTGACTGAACAGTGCCTGTTGATATACTTGGGTCATAAAGAACCCTGTTCTGGGGTTGCTTGAGGCTTAATGAACCTCATAGAAAAGGGACAGGGCCTCTGAGTGATGTGGTTTCCAGGGACTCAGCAGGGGATGAATTCACCTTATAGGGCATTAAAATCCTATAGTAGACGATGTTGGGTAGTGAGTTTCACATATTCATATTCAAATACACTGATATTTATTAGGTTTGAGTGAGTAGTAATCTTTAAAGCTGAACCGAATTGAGTAGTAGTGATAAATAGTCTTACCTAAGGGTACTTGACCAGCTAATATGCTCTAATCTAAAACTTACTTATACATTATTTTGTTTAGTTAGTGTTAAGGGTTCAATGTCAGTCGCTACCCAGGTTGACTACGGTATACCGCAGGGCTCGGTCCTGGGCCCATTCCTATTTTTGGTTATGGTTAACGACTTGCCTGATAATGTCTCTGCTAGTACTGTCATGTTTGCTGATGATGCGACCTTTTTTAGAAGCGAGAAAAATTTTAATGACCTTTGTTGCACCATGAATGAAGTAGTTCTTAAGGAGGCAGCTGAATGGTTTGCAGCTAACAAATTTCTCCTTAACTTGAATAAGACACAGAATATAACTTTCTCTCTAGACGTAAGAGCACCGAAAGAGGCAGATGATGACAATAGCGTTAAACTTTTAGGTGTCCATCTTGATCCTAAGTTAGTTTGGGATACTCATGTTACTAAGGTTTGTTCAAAGCTGTCCAAAGTTGTTCACATATTGTGTCGCCTTAGATTTAGCCTACCTAGTCATTACTTAAGATCTTGTTATTTTGCTTTTTTTCATAGTGTTTTGCTCTATGCTATTTTGTACTGGGGCAATAGTTCAAAAATAAGTGAAGTTTTAGTGATCCAGAAAAAGGCTGTGAGGATTTTATTTAATGTAGACCCTGATGAGCACTGTAGGCCCTTGTTCAAACAAGCCAAGATTTTAACTGTGATAAATGTATATATTTTTGTGTGTTTATGTTATGTTAAGAAGAATTTAGATAACCTCACTTTGTCAAACCAAATCCACAACCATTTCACAAGATCTAGTCATCATATTTATAGGCAACATTGTAGGTTAAGTAAAACCCTCAAGTCTTTCAATGTTCTTAGTATTAATTTGTTTAACAAACTGCCTCATAGCGCAAAAGAAGTTAGTAATAGTAAATTTGAGAGAGTTTTGTCACATTGGTTAGTGGAAACCCCCATGTATAGTGTTAACGAGTTCTTGAAAATGACTTTCAACGATTCAATGTTACCATTCTGTGTTAAAGTCTAGGCCTATACATCTGTTTATTTTTAAGTAGGCTAAGATATTTTTAAAATGTGACTTTGCCCATTGCATGTACATGTTTAACGGCAATAAACGATTCTTATTCTTATTCTTATTCTTACAAGCTAAAACAAAATGTAGTCGGAAAAAATATTAATTGTATCATTCCATTGTCCAAGTACTCAAATGTCTTACTTTACGTTCTTAGTTTTCCAATGACTTTCTAAAGAAACAACTGTTTACAGTACGATGGAGGCCAGCACACACAGAACTGTAGGGAACATCCTGCGACTGTATCTACAGCCCCAGACCTGGCGTCTCGTAGAGTCCCCACCAACAACATTCAACAGGTACATCCTCTCATAAGTGTGGGATCTATTATCTGAACATTACCGTGCCAGACCATCCCTAGTTTTTCCCTTTGCTGTTTGCTTAAGGTTTGGTGCTGATTATGATTAAATTCATCATTTCAAATTGATTCTCATTTAAAATAAATATTTTTTCGCATAAAATTCTATAACTAAGTGCCTCTTAAAGTCCATAACATGGATATAAAATGCTAAATAACTTTTGTTCTTGTCTGTTTCAGCGCAAACTACCAGCTTATGCCCGTGTGAAGCAGCCTCGGGTACCCAATGCTTACGATAAAACTGCTCTGAAGCTAGAAATAGGAGACGTGATCAAGGTGACAAAAATGAACATTAACGGTCAGTGGGAGGGGGAATTGAATGGAAAGGTGGGGAATTTCCCATTCACTCATGTAGAGTTTGTGGACAATGAAAGCTGTGATGTCACAGAGGACAGCTAAGTGATCTGCTTTGTCTGAGTCAGCCAAGCGCCTTATGTTGTAGTGACTACGGTACACGCTATGTAATCCTGCCTAAGTTGGAGTGACTTCCCTCAAACTATACTGTCGACTCTGAGGCAGTGATGGATTGGCTTCATAGTTGGTTCAAGCAACATGTATGTGCTGGATGTATGTGTTGTATCAAACAGGTGGATTCGGTTGTATCGTTTAATTTCCAGGGCTTTGATATAGAAATTATCCCATTAAAGATATATTAATGGGAAAAACTGTTTGAGTGATAATGTTTTAAGTAGGGGTGACTATTTTGCTATTGACGTTTTAAGTAACTAAAGGAAATTTTTAAAGATATATTTTAAGTGTTAGAATGGGGCTGGCTAAAAGATGCCAACAGTAATCAACAAAATTTGTTGTTCCATTTAATTTAGTTAGATTTTAGAATTTTAAGACCAATTTATTAAAATGTAATTTTGATCAAAATTACGATTGAAGCCCTGGTATAAATCAAATTATATGAGGTTTTCTGTGTTTAAAAAATAAGCTATAAATCGCCTCTACAAATCACAACCTGGTCTTATCATATTACATAAAACTTCATGATTCAATTCCTATCTACAAAGCATTGTTTGTACCTGCTTAGACTACCTCTAGTGTTTCAATATTAGTGATTATAACATGATACATCAATACAAACTATGCAAAACTTTGGCCATAAACAAACAGGGATTTGAATGTAATCCTTTATTACCTTCGTCATTTATTATTATATTGCATATGAAACAATGCCTTATCGGGGATCGAGCTGGTGTAGTGGTTAGAGCGCGGGACTTCAGTCCCTGAGGTCCAGGGTTCGATCCCCGCCAAGTCACCAATGGATTTTATTTTAAAGATAATGCCGCAACCCCTAGGTCTAGCCTGAAGTAATGTGAAAACAATCCCAGGCTCGTGCCTAGCGTTCTAGGACAAAAAAATTTAAAAAATAATGCCTTATACTAAAGGTTAACATAACTTTGGAGCCAATCTAGACACTCTCTGGTGATGTATTTAGTTATATCCACTTTCTGTATACTGATATGAACGGATAAGGTACTTGTGTGCCTATGCTCAAGAGAAGGTTTAGGGTACTTTTCCAAAACTCTTTAAACTGGTATTTTTATGGGTTTCAGCACATAAGTGGTTTAACTGAAGTATGTGTTATAAGATAAGCCTAATCAACTCGGGTGATGTTTAGGGTATCTATCATTTATAGAATACGATATACAGGAACACTTTAACCACACCAAGTAGAGCTGGAAAAAGTAAATATTTACTGACTTAGGCTTTATAAAAGCATCCAAAAGCAGCTTCTTATTTATCAAGGCCTATTTGAGTGTATTAGTAGCTTAACAAGCTTGTCTTTTATAAAATGTAAGTTTAAAAAATGATATTTTAATTATGATGTAAAATGTAGGTAAATGTTTCGTACAAACTTAGCTCTGAGCTTACATAAAATGTCGGTTTAAGTTCAGACGCTGCTAAATATATTTGAGTAAACGAGTAGATTCTCTTCTTATTTGTAATTTGACCTGAATAATGTTAGTGGTATTATTATTGTTATTTACTTCTTTATTCTTCCTACATTAAGAGGACTACTATTCCTAATGTTTTTTCTCTTGTCAGGATAACAATACTTGTTCAGTTTAAACAGGACAAACTGTGGTGATTTTGAAAGCCCTAAATGTCCGACACCATAGATAACTTATCTGTGCGGTGATCTGAAGTTAGTAAAATACCCTTACAGTAAGACACAAGAGCAAGGCAGTGTTGACTACAGTGAAAGCATAATGCAGGGGGTGGTCTCGAACATGCGATGTCTGGTAATACAGTAGAACCCTTCATATCCAACTATGACCAACGGGACCGGGCCATGATCAGAATGGCCTAAATTTTGGATATTGGGAGGAGGAAAATCTCTTTTTTTCATGTAAGAAAGTTTATTTCACAAAAAACAATATTAGGTTTGCTGGCTAGTGGTCATGGTAATGTTTTTACCTACGCCGACTGTGAAATTATAGAGGGATACTTTTATCATTGTTCCTCATATATTCCAAGACGTACTTGTGGTATGTAAATTCCGTTTTTGAAAATGTGTACGCATGTTATGAACCTGATGTTATATTTGTGATCGTGATTCACCACCCTTGCCTGAGTAATAGCTTTGGCCATTCTCCGCCAAGGTTTATGGGGAGGTATGGGGATTACACAAAAATAGTTTATTTTTATCTACAGAAGACGACTGATGCAGAAGCTGTGCTTACAAAGTTGAAAGAAGAACTTGATTAAATCTATCTTGGTAAGGGAATTAGCTGCAGGCCGTCTGAGGCCTATCCTAGGGTTAAAGTGGGGATACGCAAAATCACTGTGCTACTGATTTCAGACATAACTCACAGAATTGCATTGTTGTGTACGAAATAGGTGACAAGAGCCTGAACTGATCTACTCCCATTGGAGACAAATAGTCACTTCAGGTTGTTGAACTCTTCACACAGATGGCTAAAAAAAGACTTCGCAATGTACATAGAAAGGAAATTGGACATAAAAACAATCTACATTAAGTGCACCTCCAGTGTAACGGGTCTTCTCTGACCGATGCTATCATATACAACGGCTACGCGACACAAGTAGAGAGAACTGCTAATTTCGGGGGAGAATTTTATAAATTGGCGCTAAAAATCCCTGTTCAGGTGCCAATGAAATGTAACGTGATGTTTTTCTTGCTGTATTTTGTAATTTGATATTTGCACAATTTTGTAGTGATAGCGGGGAAATCGTCAACAACTCTCGCAAGCAGATTGCCCAAGTCAGTGTGCTGGGAAGTTTCCAGGGTTCGAGAATAATTATAGTATCAATTAATTTAATATACCACAGATACAGATTTGTATGGACAAAATGGAGTATAGATCAGGTTTGAACTCAGTACAGATAACCAACAGCGCTACTGTACCATCATCATTGCTCTCACCTGGCAATGACTAATTGAATTGAATTAAAAAATAATGTAACCTAATATGAAATTAAGAAAAAAGTTATCAAATTTAAAACACCACAAAACTAAAATAATGTACAACTCGTCATTTATTGAGCAAAAGACCAGCACAACATTTTTCAGAAGAATAGATCAGAATTTGAACTAAGTCAAATAGTTTCAAAAATCAATTCTGGAATTTCGCCCTTTCAAAAATTGTCCTGTACCGTAATGTTAAAACTTAGAAAAAAATTACTTTGCATTTATTCATCCACATATTTCCTTTAGTATCTGTGTATTTGAAACAACAACTAAAATTAATTTAAATAAGGTACTATACTATAACTGTTTACAGGCAATCTATTTTTGATCCTATTTTTTTATTATTAAAACCTCATCTGATGTCTTCAACCTACCGGCGCACCGATATGAAACAAGGAAAAATCTTTTGTTGAAAAACAGGCACAGTTTAAAGTTTATGAAAAAAACCATCATTTGCTGGTAATTAAAAAATAAAATATATATATATATATATATATATCCCTAGAGTAATTAGAAATGAAAATGTTCCAACAAAATTTTTAACAAAATAAAAATGTCTTAATAAACATGGACATTTATTCTCAAGAAAAAGCTGTCCATATCCCTCAAGAACACTAGACATTAAGGAAACACATCTATGTAAGGAGTTGTCTATTTATATTTACATTGATATGTAATCTTTGACTCGATTCAAATGTTGTATTATGTATACTTTTCTTAGTAAATAAAGAAATTTAAATTGAAAAACTTATATAACAACGAATACTATCAAGTGAAACAAAGCTCAGATCGCATATTTCTGCTGCCACTGAAAGCATTTGTGAAGATGCGCCATCGAAAATGGATGATTTTACTGTGATTATAGGAGATAATGAAGTTGCTGTAAACGTCACCGGGATTTCACCATGACCATGAAAGATGTAGAAGATGTTTTCAATTTTACTGTGAACATGGGAACACATTCATAATTTTGCTGTAACCACGGGAGATGTTCTAAATTTTGCTGTGACCACAGACTAAAATCAGGTTTTCCTAATGAAATTTCAAAATATATTCAAAACAAATTCATAATTCCCGGAATTTCCGGTCTGTGGTGGACACCCTGTAAGTCGGGTATTGTGAGGAGTCATGCCGAGGTTGGATATGAGGGTTCTACTCTAATTATTTCACTCTTTATAATATGTGATTCTCAAAACAAGCTTTTAGTTCTTCGTCTATTCATACTACTGTTGTAGAAATGTTTGTGTTTCACAAAAGAACTCAGCCTAAACGTTGGTCTTGTTGCTTGCTCATGTTAACCTGTTGTTTAAACATCATAAATCCATATAATCCACTTTACCACCCTATTTATAAAACTTAATTATAGTAAGTATAGTGTTCACAAATGAATAATCCTTTTTCAATTAACCATACAAATATATAAGCAAAAGGTTTATTTAGTATAACCGATCTATGATGATAATTAAGACTGTTGTTTCGGTGTAAAGATAGAACCCTCAAGAAAAGAGATAACAGTATGAAATTCCATTAATCAGTAAACTAGCTTTGTAATAAATAAAATTCTATTTTTAATATTTTGTGATAGGCTCGAAGCAGTATAGATCAAGGAGGAAGACTGTTAAATGATAAGATAATAAAGTAAAATTAGTAAAATACTTATTTTTATTGATTTTATTGTATCTACAATTAGAAGAAATATAATCTTCTTTTTATTTTGAACTAGATCAGACTTCAACTAACATATTCCTTTTTGTAAATCGTTTAGCTTCTGAACAAAATTTCTTTGATATAGGTACCCATTAGATTATGCTTGCCTGTAATATTGGCACTTGTAAAAATTCTAATACATATTTATGGGAGGATATAACAATTAAAACAGGAATTCTTGATAGACTATAAATTCTGGAATGGATGTTATTAATAATATTAACAGCTTTTTATCACTTTAAAATTAAACTATTCATCAAGATGATAAATCCACCGCCAACGCATCAGATGGCATTGATGCAGGTATTTTACACTAATTAAGTATTTAAATGTGATCAGGAGGCTAAAATTCAAAATAATGAATCCACCCTTCTATTAATAAAATCCTGTATTGTAAATCAGATTTATTTGGACTTAGGTCAAAAACTCTTTTCCTTAGTCAAAATATCTTAATGTTATTTGAATTTTGTGCAGTGATTTGTACGTTGGTTTGTGAAATGGACTCTTTAAATTTTTACTATAGTCCACATAGCTTTTTTTAATTAAATATTATTTCTGAAAGTATTTTAATCCTACACAATGCTGCACAATGACAATTGTTTAGTCATTTTTGTTGCTTGGATGCCAACACTAAACAAAACTTTTCATAACACATATTCACTGTGTTATACAAAAGTATTTTACTTTTATAAAATCAACCTATATATTAGGAATTATTTTAAAATTTTCAGTTAATAAACTCCACTTTAAAAATATGCACAAATTTTAATTTTTATCATCAACAATGCTTACAACCTTTTTGTATATGTGTACAGTTATTATAAGTTATTTGCAACTATGACCAATGTAATGTCTTAAAATCGTACTTTTACTTTTTCTTTATTATTGTAAAACGTGCCGAATGAAGTACACAATCTACTATCTGTAGCTAATGTTTCTCACTTCTTAACTGTAATGGCACAAATATTCTGATTTGATGTTATTTAGAGCCTACCTGAGCACAATATATTCCGATGTATTTCCGCACATGTCATATTTGTTGTATGTATATTAAAAGTAATTACTCGAGTGTGTTTTAACTGATATATGTAGAGTGATTTTCTACATATTTATAATTTAAGTGTCACTCGTGAATAATTTAATTTGTGAAAGACATGTCATGTTAATATGGTATGGAAAAACTAAAGATTGGAAGTCAAAACTAAAGGGCAACATATATATCCTAATTTTAATTAGTGTGGGTTATATTTATTTTAAGTAGGCCTAGATGATCTAATTAAATACATTATTGTTATTATATATTGAATAATAACATTTTGAGGTTATTTCGTTACAACAGCCTAATTTAAGAGGCACAGAGTGATATAACGTATGCGATGAATGGGTATTTTCTTGTTAATAAAATTGTTTAAAAACTAGTAACTGACATAGCACTGAAATCCCCCCTTGATCATCAAATTTTCCTGGAAGATTGTTGGACGGCTTCATTTGTACTCCAGTTAACAATTTTTATTTTTCAACTTCACAAAGTACCATATTTATTATATCTGCAATCAAAATTACAGAATTACTAGTTTATATTCCTAATTATTTTGTATGTTTACTCTACAAGTATACCCGCTTTAATATTGCTATGTGACTGTTATCGTTCTTCACATTTGGACAAAAAATGCACGCTTGTAATCATTAAATGGGTAAAATAAGGTTTTTCAGTTCATACCAAACTAAATGTGATTATACATATGGAATACATAGTTCCCTCTTGGTGTAAAATTATAAGATGTGAAAGGTCTTATTTAAAAGATTACTCTGTGCCTCGGTAATTCGTAAATCGTAATATTTTCTTTTGTTTTTCAACTTGTAGCTTATAACGTAGTATTGAAACCCTGCTCATTAGTATTGTAGTAACTTACACATTTAACCTATCACTTAGGTTAATGCTATCAGACTCCATCATGATTTTATTTGTTCTTCCTATTTTAATTGCTACTAGTCAATTTATATTTGGAACAGGCATATTTTGCCAAAAATTATAAAACTTTATACACTAAATAAATGTATGTACTATACTATAGCTGTAATTTAGGACTAGACATGGTTTGCTTTCAGTACCATCAATCTCCTTGTTTTATTTATGAATATTTTAATGGTTATGTATTTTTATCATGCTATGTATGTATGTTTATATCTTATTTTAACATCTGGTAAATAAGATTTCTGTATCCTTACCAAGTTGTACGATGGATTAAAATATTTGTTAATTACTTTGGTTTTCACTTCTTGCCCAACGAATTCCAAAATATTTAACTATTCAATTCAGTTTAGACATTTGGTTTTACACATATTTTGGTAAATGAGAAAATCAAGATACTAAACCCATTACGTTTGCTACCATGATATTCTTATGAATAATAAGCTACTAAATATAGACTGTGTGTTTAGGGATGTATCTTAATTCAAATTTCAAAAGTTGCATTGTAGGTTATTTTTTATGTTTTAATATGCAGGTTTGCTGAAAAGGGGCTATTTGGTATATAATCTACCTAATCAGGTATTCTTGTTATTACAAGGCTAGTGTCTGCTCAGCAATTAGTTTTTACTTTGTTATTGTGTGCAATGGAGAGGGATAACGCAGAAAAGCCCCTGCCTGCAACTGTATTGAAAAATAAAAAGACTTGCTCACTATTTTTTCTCTGCAAAAACAACTGCTTTGTTTTAAAAATCAACAATATAATATAAAAAACATAATGTATTTGTTATATCTAAAAACAACTTTTGAAGATCGATTGGATTTACCTGTTATTCAATTTTAATATGATCAGATTTTTGGGATTTGACTTTCATCCCTTATCTAAATTTTACAAAGAAAGACAAATCTGAGATTTCAAATATACATAAAGTAAAATAATGTACTTTGAATATTGATAAATTGGGACGAACACTTTTCGTGTATTGATAAATTAACTAAATGGATGAAATTTAAACCGTTATATTTTTGGTTGTTGTCGTGGATATTGTGAAGTCTGTAGTTCTTTGTTTTATAATTTTGCAGTATTCTCGCAGAAAGATCATGTATTTTGTCATAAACTTCTTGTATGCCTTATCTGCAATGTAGGAAGGAATCCACCCATTGAGCTTAGTATTTAGAAGCCAACGAAATTCAGTCTTGGACGGATCGCTGCTGAGAGGACGTAACTCCATACATCCTGGACCGTTTTTACCTCTGCAAAAAGATTTTCTTCATTTAGCAATCTGCAAGTATCAAAAGTGAAATAAAGAACAGAATTGGCAACAATTATTAGTTTTCATTGAATCCAACCTTAAGTGACTGAATAATTTATGCTCTAAATATCAAAGTCTTTAATACAAGTCAGTGGTGGAACGAAATTTGGCAAGGAGGAAAAATATCACAACTTTAAACTGTGCAGAAATGAAATTATTGAGTTTACCTAATATATTCAGGGTTGGATGGAGCTCTGGAGAAGTCAATGGACTTGCTTGCTGCTATGTAAGTGTTATGTCGTAGTTCCCAGTGACGCAAACTTACAAAATCACGACTAGCTACATAGCCTCGGGCACCTGGGGCTGACACTGTGTATGATATGTCTGTTTGGTCATTTATTTTCTGGAAAAAATCATATCAGAAAATCTGTGTAAGTGTTAGTGACTAACATGCATAGCAGCTTCAAACAATTCAGTGGACTAACACAAATATTGTAGACCTTAGAACTTCAGAAGTTCGTTGAATTGTACTAGAGTGTTAAGAGTCCAACTAAAAGATTTTTGAGAAATAATGTAACATGGAAATATTAAAGCCTAACCTTTTGCAGTTAGAAAGACTATTTCATGGTTGTCTATTACTCGAGCAACCAGATTCAATCTTTTTCACAGCAGCTTGAGCAAATTTCACTTTGGTAGTCCCTGATGCTGGGATGGCCAATGGTACTGACACATATGAAACAGTCTAATACTTTAAAGGCCAGCATCATAGGGTGAAAAATTAAAGTTTTGATTGTAATTGTTTATGTCTGCTGAGTAGTGATGTCTAATCAGACAATTTTTAAAATAATTCCCAGCTGGTTGAAAGTCGCTATGGTGGCTCCAAGTTGATGTACAGTAAGGGGCATATGGCGTATGCATAAGGCCCGTGCATGTTGTGTAGACAACTGATATTGAAATAATTTTGCTCTTTTTATGTCTGTGGTGTGGTCAGTGAATAGTTAATTTATTAGCTAAACTCCTGAGACATCAAACTACAAACCTCAAGAACTCTGCATTCCAAAAGAGAGGGATTCCACTTGGGGTAGTCTGGTAGCCCATCCCAGATTATGACTAAGAGATCTTGTGGTGGCATATCCACTATACCCTATAGTAACCAAAAAGTAGATTTAAATGTACAATTTTAAAAATAAAACAAAATACAACATTCATTGCTAACACATGAGACAGGTCAAGTCTTGTTGCTTGTCTTGCTTGATGGTTTTTTTTTAGGATTTTCCATAGCAGTTTATTGGCACCTACAAGCATCAGTTCACCCAAAGACTTCTGTGAACTTACATTATACCGTCAATTAAATGCATTTGACATTATTTACACTCAGATACATTAAACATGGCCAGATGAACACCAAGAACAGGTGAGCAAAGTTCACTTGTATGGTTTGTCATCAGGACCAGTGCGTCCAGTGCTTCCACCTTCTTTTGAACAAGTGTCAAAGATAATATAGCTGAAGAAAGAGAGTCACCTGCTTTTGTCAAATTAATGTATGGTATTGGCACATTACAGTCCCAAAGAGCAGACAAAAAGTTATCAGAAAACCAATTGCACTTGCTGGAGAGATAACAAGCCGCTTTACCCTTTAGGTCAACTGTAGGAGGAACACTAAAGCTCAATAAGGCATCCAGTGGTTTAAACTTCTTTTGAGCAATTTTCTTCCTGATCATCAGATCATTGGTGCACCACTTTTTATTAGTGAATCATACATAGGTATTAATTTCCTCAAATAATTGTAAGAGTATCAAACTATTCATTGAATTGAAACAGAAATTATAACTGCTCATGTTTAAGGAAATGGAAAATTCTTTTGACCCAGCGCCACCTTATGACCATCGTGGTCTGGTACTACTTTATCTTTGAGAAGGATTGCCTGACACTCTTGCTTTAAGGAATTTCCTGATAGCTTTATTTGATGGATTACTCACAGTCAGCCGGTACACCATGTTCCCATTGTCCAACTGTCTGCTAAAGATGGCATCTCCATCCTCAGTGCGTCTCTCAAAGTCCCAGATCCCTGTGTCGAGTATCGTCGTAGCTTCTGTGAGCATCTCTTGACCCATCTTGTCATAATCTAAATCCTAAAGATTTTATAGTTCAAATTAAACCACCTATTGTCTTGGTAAAGCAATTTTGTAATAATATTTTATTTCCTAAATGTACAACCATTTGTGCATACTTCACTCAAAACAATCCTGATGATTTAGGTAGCCTATCACAGAATAAGATGATTGCACAGATGATTCAAAGAAAAAATGTCTTAATGAATTCACTATAGTATCAGGATATTTTGAAGAATCTCCTTACTCCCTTTTATAAAAGTCAAGTAGCTATCCTCTAAAGAACTTTTTATAATCTCTTTATTTACGTCATTAAGATATTGGTCACTGCCCTCTGCCTAGTAGTTAATTTTTTAGATTTAATATTTTTGGTGTCCTCATTTTGAGCATGGAGAATATGGATAAATTAGTTTATACAATATGTTGAAGTGTATTTTGACAGTAACATTGTACAGAAATTTGAGTGCAATAAAATCTATTTTTTTCTTTTTCCCTACAAGAATTATCAGACTAAAATCACAGAAAATATTTTCAAGGTGAGGTTTTCATTCATTCAATACAGCACAAGATTTAAAACAAAACTTACATCTTCAGTCAAGTTTGTTGACATTGAATAATTTCGATTTGACTCATCCAATACAAGGCTGACCTGTAATCAGAAATTTCCATCACCAATAGTACCCATTAAATGTTACTACTATGCATATGTGAGGGTAAGGAAAACTAAAGATTTTAGGCAACCAGCAGATATAATGTAAAATTAAAATTTCGTTTAACTTTGGCAACTGCCTCAAGCGAGACTGATCAACTGGCAGCCTAAACCATGAAAGAAATCGCAAATGTCCAAAGATTTGACTTCATTGTAAGATTAACAACCACAGGTAGGCCGTAATTTCAAGTGAATTTGTGATGGTTTCCTAATTTTCTAGAACTCGTAAGTGAACAGACTCGATGTAGGCCTGAGGAAGCCTCTTTCCGAATAAAAAAAAAAATTGTACATTGAGGAGGGCCCTCAAAGGATTGAAAATCCTATCCCCCGGGGGCGATAGATTTTCAATCCTTCAAGCCCTTATCGCTAATATTCACTAAAATCGTAATTAGCTTTCACAACTACAATTATATATACAAAAATAGTTTCCATCGTGATAAAGTCCTACTACCAATTACATAAAAATGTACATCTTCAATATTTTTTACTGTGTAAGTTTGTAATAGAAAGATTTTTGAGGGAAGCACTCTTATTTGAAATGGTATAAAGATTTTTTCTTTAAAAAAACTTTTTTTGTGTTAAAGACACATACATTTACAAATATTTTCTCGGTTGAAAACCATGCCACCCCCCCCCCCCATCCTCGACTCTCAAAATGGTGTATGTTTACCAAACAATACATGGACTATATGGAGCAATGTTGAGGCAGAGAGCAACTTTTACTTTAGATGTTGAGATTTTGATAATCTAAATGCACTGTGTACAGCTCTACTCTTTTCACATTGCCAGTAAAAGGCCATAAATGAATAATATAAAAGAGCAAAGTCCTATAATCCTAGCCCAGCCAGCCAAAACAACATCATTGTGACCAGTGTTTAATGACAAAATTCATGTAAACTCAATACACTTAAACATTGAACCCAGCCTTTTTTCATACAAACTATTCTGAACCATAACGAGATAAATCCTAGTAAAGAGTAGAATCTCCTTTAACATAAAAGATTTCTTCCTCTTTACAAACTAATACTGGACTACTTATTTAATTAGTTTGGATATAAAAACGAAATTCGAGATGATAAATACTATAAAAATATCACTTCACAACTTCTCCAATAAAGAACAACTAAATATTATTTCATTTGCTTTTTGGTTGTCCTTTATATCCTTTTTTTCTGTCATAAATCCTTGCATTAACAATATCATAACTCAGTACATGAACTATTTTTACTACGTTAATTCAACACAAAATCAAAACAATATTCATCAGAATTGTATTGCATTTGTTTGAGCTTCTATGTACAAACGACAACTTTATTATGAACATAATTGGATAGTCTTTTAAGTGTTATACCATTTAAAGATAATAGGTTGGGTTTGGTGTTTTCGGATCCATATTATTGCGTGCTGTTAAGTTTACAACTATAAAAATAGATGACGGAAAAAGGTATCTTAACCTCTTGACATATCATCTGTATAGATTTTCAATCCAGGAGGTAAATACTACGACTATAACCTATACAAATAAGAGTGCCTCGATAATTTACACTTTTTACTTACCTCTGTGTCATTGTTTTCCTGGAAAATCGAAGAATTCCGATTGGGTTCGTCGGTAACATGTTCTGTAAAGTTGACAGTGGCAACGTCGGTGGACGACAGAGGTAAGAAATTGCCGTCGGTTGAAGAGACGCCAACGGTTCCACCGACGGTTGTGTTGCCTGCCTCCTTAGACCTCCTGGGAAGGTACCTGAGGCCTACCATCCCTGTGACCAGCCCCAGCAACATGGCCACTCCCGCTCCCGCCACTACATTTCTCATCATCCCCACGACTGATCGTCGTCCATCGTCACAACGCTACCCAACTCCGCCGCGTCACCACTGATAAGCCACTACTGATCGTTGCCGTTAACGATCTCAAGATGATTTGATTACAATGAGTAAGCCAGTGCTGTAACAGTTTTCGCTTTGTTACTACACGCTTCTAAGAAATCATTTTATTTACCGTTACTCACAGTTTTATCCAATAGCAAAGGTTTGAACTAATCTCGAATGCGACCGTGATATTTGTTTAGATATTGGAGATAACCTGTTTTAATGTGTGACACGGCATATAAGTAAACATGTTCAGGATAACACGATTGTACCATTTTTCATCGAAATAGTAAAGATGTCTTTCCACTAGGAAAGTTTTCAAACAATGATAATAGATTTCATCACTATGGCGTAAAGTGATTATTTTCGACTCTAACTCAAGTTTTACGGTTGAGACGAATCCTAGGTCGGAATAGGCTATGATCAAGGTCTAAAATACACTTTTTGCCCGTGAGATGAGCTAAACTTTTCGTCAGATTGCACCATATACAACCTATAGTTTTGGAAACTATAAATAACAAAACGAAAATAATGTCATGCAAAGATTACCTCTCACAACGACTTCCAACTCGTTTTCAATTTTACTAATTAAAACAAGCAGCTGTTTTAGTAAGCGATTCAATTATTTTGCCGATTACTGTTGTGTTAGCGTCCAATCAATATTATCGATCTGTCGAACGATTGACAAGAAAGCAACAATAAACTACCAGCGATAAAAACAATCTTTACATACTGTTGATACATGCCATCGCTTACAATCTAAATTTACTACTGAGTTGACAACAGCTGAATTTTGCTACCTATGGACTAAAAACGCTCATTGCTACCTAAACAATGAGTCATGCCTTTTGTGATAATAATCATCGGTAATTTTATTACAACAGATCATGAGGTAAATGAAACATCATCCAATGCAATCGTTGTGAAATTAAATGTGACATACATATATTAAAATTCATTGTTGTAGCCCCGGAACTGTAATATATAAAATATCTGGTTTTACAATACCTTTATCAGTTCCAAAACTTGGAAAACTCAACTTGCAAAACTCCAAAACCATTTTTGGGACTGATAAAGGTATTGTAAAACCAGATATTTTATACATATATTGCTTACTGGACAGATATATCCAAATGTAGGCCTACCCGATTATTTAGGACCTACCGTTAACAATATCCATAATAATTATGATTATTTTTGGACGATCCCAAAATGTTATAACTTCTGCCAAATCAAGGGTTGATAGATAACAAGACATATCAAGAGTTTTTAATTTAAGAATGTTAAAAATCCATCAATTAATTCTAAGATCTACATGATTGATTGAAACCAGGGTAAATATTAGCCTATAAGATTATTCTACTCTAAATTGCCCCTAATTTAACTTACTAAAAGCACACTAAACACACAGAAACAGGCTTCAGTTTTAATATCGGTTTATAAGTCAACTCGTCAAATCCGAAGTCAATGTTCATACTAATCCACCATTTTTGACGTTTTAACCTTCGATTTTAAAAATATATTCAATTATTTTTTGCAATTCGTCCTGCGTGATGGGCATGACATACCAGGGGTACAATTCAGACTCTTCCAGTTTTCATCCGATCTTAACGATTGTAATAATAATCATGGCTCCACCCGTATGTACCAATGTCCAATACTGTATCCAAATGTTGTAAGGGGTTAAGATTCAGGACAGTATGTACAAGCAGACGATACCGAGAGAATTACTTCAACGTGACGTCCCTCTCGCAAACATTATTTAACAATACAACTTAGCTAGCTACATCCGTGCGTGAAGGCCTACTTATGTTTTGGAAATACTTTTCAAGCAAAAAGATGATGTTCGTAATGTTGATTAGGATATTGATTCCATTTTCATATATTTATTTTGAATAGGAAATATATATTTTTTTACTGCAAAAATAAATTTTCTTTCTAGTCCACCTGGTCCAATATATAAACCATTCCTTGATATACTTTGTATATTAATTTTGTTAGTTCCTAGGAGGCCTTATAAACAAAGTGTCCCGTAAGTAAGTACAACAAATTTAGGAATAATCTTCCTGGATATGCTTCCACGGTCACTTAATGTAGAATCGTGGTCTTCTGGCGACGACCGTGTCAAAAATGACGAATCACTAATCAGTTAGTGAATCAGTTAGTTAGAACTGAATCAGTTAGTGATTCGTCATTTTTGACACGGTCGTCGCCGGAAGACCACGATTCTAAATTTAGGAATCGGTTGAATGGGTCAAAATTAAAACGAAAGTCAACAATGAAAATTTGTTTCTAAAAAAATTCCTCATAAACAAGTTCTGCCATTTTGTTTTTGTGTTTTAAAGGCATATCTTGAAAAAAATTTGAGATATATTTATGAAATTGTGTACGGTACCTATGCAAATTATCTAGTAAAAACCTATTCCAGAAAAAATAAGTATTAAGCAATCCCAGATTAAAAAATCTGTTTGGTTTCAAAATGGCGGCCATTTTAATCGTTTATAACTTACTAAAAAGTTATAAATTTTTTAAAAAAACGGCAGGTTTTGTCACCAGTCACAAGTTAATTTCAAAATTTGGATCTGCATCGCCATATCAATGAATTCATCAGCCATTACTGTATCATTTGAGTTTTTTGTGCTCAGAAGATAGATTTTTGGAACCATTCCAATCAAATTCGGCGCATGTTCAAATGATTCTATTTATTTTACTATTTATTCAATTACCGTATGTCTTGTATTATTTATGTCTTGTTACTCCTAGGTATAAGTAGTTTTTTTTTTACAGTCTTAGAGCTTGCATGTATCCCTATTGTATTGTTCATCAGTTTTGCATTGTTACTTAGTTTTAGTAGTCATGATGAGTATCTCACTATATTGTAATTCCTATTGTAAATTGGTGAAATCCGTTGGTAATAAATAAATAAATGATCATAATGGATGGTGTGAACACTTCCATGAGATATGTACCTCTCAAATGCAATGTCATCGATTGTTAATTTCCGATTTTCACATACAACTTGTCGTACTCGGTCAATGTTTACGTTATTGTCATCGTCATTGCTTTCACGGCCTTCACAAAACCGTTGGTGCCACTCATAAACTTGACTTATTTCATCGCCTCTTCTCCATAAGCTTGAATTAACAACTCAAGAGTCGCACTAAGTGGGGTTTTAAGTAAAACGCAGAACTTAATGTTTGTACACTGCTGTTCAGTGTTCATGAAATGCCATTTTTCAATGCAGGTGCACGACTGACAGTCTGAGATTGTAGACTTGCAGGTACACAAAAATCGCTTACCAATGCTGCACTACGGCTCGTCAGCTATACCCCCACTACGGATATGCCCTCACCAGGAATCGCACTAACTAACTACTACAACTGGCGATCGTGCCAAATGTTTTCAGAAATTCATTCTGGGAAATGTTGACTGTTATATGTATATTTGTAAATATGGAAAATAAACCGATTTTCATTTTCATTTCATGTATACTTATATCTTAGGCCACCCTCCTTGAGTGTCTTAATTGTGATTATAATGTATTCAAGTATTACTTATCATTTTGCATTTGGTTGCCTTTCTGCGCTGTGATATTTTTAGCATGTATGCTGTTAAAAGCACCAACGCTAAATTAATTACTATTTTTTTCTATTTACACCAACCCCCCTTTTTTTAATATCTGGGTAAATCCAGCCTTTTCATTTGATCTACCCATTTTGTGTTTAACCATAGCATTGGGAATCCCAGATCCCTTCATTTTCAGTTTTCCTGTGTTTCCCACTGCCCTGACCATAGGGGTATAACTAGTATGACCCTTTGGGGGGTGGGGGGAATTACACCGGGGGGGTCTGGAGGAAAGTTATACCTTTAAACTCACGTTTTTAGGCTACTTAGAGACATGTAAAAGAGATTTTTAATTGTAGAAAAAAATTTTAATTAGAAATAAATCACGTTTTATGTTCAAGGGTGAGGGGTTACTTAGAATCTTCTTAGATGGGCTGAGTGGCCTGATGAAAAAAATTGGAGGTGTCTCTTTCTGCAGACCCCTCATCAAATCCAGCTCTAAGACTAAACCCACAAGAGACTTATCACGTCCTCTTTTGCCTTCCAAACAACATTAATAGCAGAAAATACACCAAACGTGCATCCAATGCCATACCCAACAGTCAACAGAATCCCACCTTGGTGCTTTCGACTTCGGAAAATTAAACTAGACCTTCCACGATTCACGTCAAAAAAAGATCCTGCAGAAACACAAATAGCTGTAGCCATAGAAATCATAAACACAAACTACAACAATTATTACAAGATCCCACCAAAACAAAATCTGGAGCCGGCTATTTTGCAGAACACTCCAACACCTCTTTTTTTGTTACAACATATTCATGCTCAAGCACCGAAACCGAGCTTCTTGCCATCAACGCAGCAGCTGCCGGCTGCATAAGTTTGGAGAGTGAGAACATATGCATCCTCAGTGATTCAAAAAGCGCACTACAGCTTCTAAAACAATAAAAGCCTTGAAACTATCATCATAGAACACAAGAAATATTTCATCTCCTGAATCTAGCTTCAGGCAAAAATATTTGTTTACAATGGATACTGGGTCACTGTGGACTGCGTGGAAATGAAGAAGCTGATAAAATAGCAAAAGCAGCCTCCAACATGCATCCAATATTACCTAAGCAACCAACTCTCTACAGTTGCATAGCCGCAGCTCATAAAACTCTGTGACACAGGTGGGTAGAGAGATGGAATAATGAACCTACTGGCCGCCACCTTTATGGCCCATCAACATCAAAATCTACAAGAACTTTCCTAGATCAGTGGCTTCGTTTGTCTCAAGAGCAAGAACAGGACGTATAATTTTACACAATCCTATCTCTTTCGATTTACCCTCACAGAGTCACCCCTGTGTCTCGTTTGTCAATTGGAAGAAGAGAC